TCCATTACAGGTGATGCTAGACTTGTCTCAGTACAAATCCCAACATGAGAGATATTCCATTGAACTGGTTATTTTAATACAGGACTTATTGTTCCATTCCATTACAGGTGATGCTAGACTTGTCTCAGTACAAATCCCTACATGTGAGATATTCCATTGAACTGGTTATTTTAATACAGCACTTATTGTTCCATTACAGGTGATGCTAGACTTGTCTCAGTACAAATCCCTACATGTGAGATATTCCATTGAATTGGTTATTTTAATACAGGACTCATTGTTCCATTACAGGTGATGCTAGACTTGTCTCAGCACAAATCCCTACATGAGAGATATTCCATTGAACTGGTTATTTTAATACAGGACTCATTGTTCCATTACAGGTGATGCTAGATTTGTCTCGGCACAGATCCCTACATGTGAGATATTCCATTGAATTGGTTATTTTAATACAGGACTTATTGTTCCATTACAGGTGATGCTAGACTTGTCTCGGAACAAATCCCTACATGAGAGATATTCCATTGAACTGGTTATTTTAATACAGGACTTATTGTTCCATTACAGGTGATGCTAGACTTGTCTCAGTACAAATCCCTACATGAGAGATATTCCATTGAACTGGTTATTTTAATACAGGACTTATTGTTCCATTACAGGTGATGCTAGACTTGTCTCAGTACAAATCCCAACATGAGAGATATTCCATTGAACTGGTTATTTTAATACAGGACTTATTGTTCCATTACAGGTGATGCTAGACTTGTCTCAGTACAAATCCCTACATGAGAGATATTCCATTGAACTGGTTATTTTAATACAGGACTTATTGTTCCATTACAGGTGATGCTAGACTTGTCTCAGCACAAATCCCTACATGAGAGATATTCCATTGAACTGGTTATTTTAATACAGGACTTATTGTTCCATTACAGGTGATGCTAGACTTGTCTCAGTACAAATCCCTACATGAGAGATATTCCATTGAACTGGTTATTTTAATACAGGACTTATTGTTCCATTACAGGTGATGCTAGACTTGTCTCAGCACAAATCCCTTCATGAGAGATATTCCATTGAACTGGTTATTTTAATACAGGACTTATTGTTCCATTACAGGTGATTCTAGACTTGTCTCAGCACAAATCCCTACATGTGAGATATTCCATTGAACTGGTTATTTTAATACAGGACTTATTGTTCCATTACAGGTGATGCTAGACTTGTCTCAGTACAAATCCCTACATGTGAGATATTCCATTGAACTGGTTATTTTAATACAGGACTTATTGTTCCATTACAGGTGATGCTAGACTTGTCTCAGTACAAATCCCTACATGTGAGATATTCCATTGAACTGGTTATTTTAATACAGGACTTATTGTTCCATTACAGGTGATTCTAGACTTGTCTCAGCACAAATCCCTACATGTGAGATATTCCATTGAACTGGTTATTTTAATACAGGACTTATTGTTCCATTACAGGTGATTCTAGACTTGTCTCAGTACAAATCCCTACATGAGAGATATTCCATTGAACTGGTTATTTTAATACAGGACTTATTGTTCCATTACAGGTGATGCTAGACTTGTCTCAGTACAAATCCCTACATGAGAGATATTCCATTGAACTGGTTATTTTAATACAGGACTTATTGTTCCATTACAGGTGATACTAGACTTGTCTCAGTACAAATCCCTACATGAGAGATATTCCATTGAACTGGTTATTTTAATACAGGACTTATTGTTCCATTACAGGTGATGCTAGACTTGTCTCGGTACAAATCCCTTCATGTGAGATATTCCATTGAAATGGTTATTTTAATACAGGACTTATTGTTCCATTACAGGTGATGCTAGTGTCCGTTAATTTAAAATGACCACCAATGTTCTTCTTGACCAATGTCCATTTTTACTTAAAGTCTTTTATGATCAATGTCATTGGTGTCCCTTATTGGTAAACGGATCTAAAGTTCCTAAACATTAAGGCCGAGACTTTATATAATTTTCTTCTTCACTTTATTTTCTAATTTCCAATTGTACAAAGTTCTACACAATTCCATTTCTTCAGATCGTAAACTTTCCTCCACTTTCCAAACCCATCTTACTTTTCTATCTTGCCCTCTCTAACCTGCTCTTATCTTTCCTAAAACCCGCAGTCCATTATGTGTCCCACTGTCTCATTTGTACACATTTTATACCCAGACATTTAGTCTACTACACTGATATTGACTTTCAAACTCCGCTTTGCCTCTAAGGTAATAGATTCTGTTTCTCAAGACGTTTTGCCTCACCATTTACAGCCGAATTCCACAAGAGGTACTTTCCCACTTCTGTAGAAGGTTTCCCAAATAGATTACACACAAACTACTAAGAATTACATTGCATAAATCAACCTCCTTTGGAATGCAATGTGGAAGAGATTCTGTGAGAAGATTGTTTACATAATGTCTGGAACGAGCCCGACACATCCCATCATACTTCTTAAGATACACGATTACATGGGTACAATAACATTCAAGACAAGGAACAAGTACCTTGTGTGGAAGCAAACTTGCTTTTCCTTATGATATGAACGATTATGCCAGAATGCGACATGAGTATGCCAAAATCAGACACGCTTATGCCAAATGATAATTGAAAGTCGCTCAAGCTCTCTTTTCCTTAAAGTATACTAACATACCGTATTCGCTATACTGAGCCAATTTAAAACTGAACAACATTACTTTATTCATTACTAAACCTGCCCTTGATATTTCATCAATGTATTTTAACCAATGTTATATTACTTACACTAGACTTGTCTCAGTACAAATCCCTACATGTGAGATATTCCATTGAACTGGTTATTTTAATACAGGACTTATTGTTCCATTACAGGTGATGCTAGACTTGTCTCAGTACAAATCCCTACATGTGAGATATTCCATTGAACTGGTTATTTTAATACAGGACTTATTGTTCCATTACAGGTGATGCTAGACTTGTCTCAGTACAAATCCCTACATGAGAGATATTCCATTGAACTGGTTATTTTAATACAGCACTCATTGTTCCATTACAGGTGATGCTAGACTTGTCTCGGCACAGATCCCTACATGTGAGATATTCCATTGAATTGGTTATTTTGATACAGGACTTATTGTTCCATTACAGGTGATGCTAGACTTGTCTCGGCACAAATCCCTACATGTGAGATATTCCATTGAATTGGTTATTTTAATACAGGACTTATTGTTCCATTACAGGTGATGCTAGACTTGTCTCGGCACAGATCCCTTCATGTGAGATATTCCATTGAATTGGTTATTTTAATACAGGACTTATTGTTCCATTACAGGTGATGCTAGACTTGTCTCGGCACAGATCCCTACATGTGAGATATTCCATTGAACTGGTTATTTTAATACAGAACTTATTTTTCCATTACAGGTGATGCTAGACTTGTCTCAGTACAAATCCCTACATGTGAGATATTCCATTGAATTGTTTATTTTTATACAGGACTTATTGTTCCATTACAGGTGATGCTAGACTTGTCTCAGCACAAATCCCTACATGTGAGATATTCCATTGAACTGGTTATTTTGATACAGGACTTATTGTTCCATTACAGGTGATGCTAGACTTGTCTCAGCACAAATCCCTACATGTGAGATATTCCATTGAACTGGTTATTTTAATACAGGACTTATTGATCCATAACAGGTGATGCTAGACTTGTCTCAGTACAAATCCCTACATGTGAGATATTCCATTGAACTGGTTATTTTAATACAGGACTTATTGTTCCATTACAGGTGATGGTAGACTTGTCTCAGCACAAATCCCTACATGTGAGATATTCCATTGAATTGGTTATTTTAATACAGGACTTATTGTTCCATTACAGGTGATGCGAGACTTGTCTCAGTACAAATCCCTACATGTGAGATATTCCATTGAACTGGTTATTTTAATACAGCACTCATTGTTCCATTACAGGTGATGCTAGACTTGTCTCAGTACAAATCCCTACATGTGAGATATTCCATTGAACTGGTTATTTTAATACAGGACTTATTGTTCCATTACAGGTGATGCTAGACTTGTCTCAGCACAAATCCCTACATGTGAGATATTCCATTGAACTGGTTATTTTAATACAGGACTTATTGTTCCATTACAGGTGATGCTAGACTTGTCTCGGCACAGATCCCTACATGTGAGATATTCCATTGAATTGGTTATTTTAATACAGGACTTATTGTTCCATTACAGGTGATGCTAGACTTGTCTCAGTACAAATCCCTACATGTGAGATATTCCATTGAACTGGTTATTTTAATACAGGACTTATTGTTCCATTACAGGTGATGCTAGACTTGTCTCAGCACAAATCCCTACATGTGAGATATTCCATTGAATTGGTTATTTTAATACAGGACTTATTGTTCCATTACAGGTGATGCGAGACTTGTCTCAGTACAAATCCCTACATGTGAGATATTCCATTGAACTGGTTATTTTAATACAGCACTCATTGTTCCATTACAGATGATGCAGACTTGTCTCAGTACAAATCCCTACATGTGAGATATTCCATTGAACTGGTTATTTTAATACAGGACTTATTGTTCCATTACAGGTGATGCTAGACTTGTCTCAGCACAAATCCCTACATGTGAGATATTCCATTGAACTGGTTATTTTAATACAGGACTTATTGTTCCATTACAGGTGATGCTAGACTTGTCTCGGCACAGATCCCTACATGTGAGATATTCCATTGAATTGGTTATTTTAATACAGGACTTATTGTTCCATTACAGGTGATGCTAGACTTGTCTCAGTACAAATCCCTACATGTGAGATATTCCATTGAACTGGTTATTTTATTACAGGACTTATTGTTCCATTACAGGTGATGCTAGACTTGTCTCGGCACAAATCCCTACATGTGAGATATTCCATTGAACTGGTTATTTTAATACAGGACTTATTGTTCCATTACAGGTAATGCTAGACTTGTCTCAGTTCAAAACTCTACATGTGAGACGTATGCTGGAAGACACCAGACCTGACTTGAAACTCCAGATTGAGGACTATCCTGCAATATTTGCTATATCAAGGCAGGGTAATTGGAAACGTATGGGAGAGTAAGTTGTCTTTTTTCTATTTACTCTTATCTAATATGAATATACTACACAGCAACATGGTCTGGTCTCCTACTTTTCAGCATTAGAGCATTACAATCTTTACATGTTTTTTTTTTTTATTTTTATTTTTTTATTATTCAATGCTTTATTGTACTAAAAATCCCTTTCGGGTGAGTGTACAGCAAATAAACATGATAAAATAAAACTAAAACTATACATACAATTACAATAACATACAATGCAAATTTTACATGGCATATAATGACAATATAATGTGATTGACTGATCATTAGATATATACCAACAACTACTATTAGCCTACAGCCCTACACCTACATGTATATATTTATATTGATAATATAGTTGTTGATCTCTTTTCAATTATTTCATAAAGGTATTTTGCAAAGGTGATACACATGTTACCCTCAGCATTAAACATATAATTAGCCTTTTCTTCGGTAGTCAATACAGTTAGATTTGGGCAAATCGAGTTAAACGTATCAAAGTATTCATATCTCATTTTTTCCAATTTTTGGCACTCAAAAATAAAATGAATTTCCGTACCAGTGGTGATTTTACATAATTTGCATTTTCTTTGATCTCTCGGGACTATTGGTCTTGTATACCTTCCTCGCTCTATTTCTAAATTGTGTGCACTTATTCTTAATCGCGTCATAGATTTCCTATGTTCGGCGTTCTTTATTACATTCAAATATGGTTCTTTTCCCCATCGTTGTTTGATATTATTCAAAAATTCTAATTTCCCTTTATTATCATTGACAGTTTTTTCCCAAAATTTTATATATCTTTTTTCAAGGATTTTCTTAATATCAAGCGGTTTACTTTTAATGTAATTTTTATCTTGTGGTTGAACATATGCCATTATTTTATCAATGTCATAGTACCATGATGGTTGATTATGAACTTTTGATAGTTCAATACTATCTGCATATGCATTAATTAGTAATGAACTCGTTCCTTCATTTTCTATATGATCTAAGTATTTAACTTGTTGGTAAAATATATTGATAAACAGAGGGAATCTACCTAACTCACCCATCGTAGCTAAATTACTCGTTTTTCTATGCACCCCTAATAGAAACTTCAAAAAAGATAGATGTAGTAATTCCGGTGGAAGTGACTTGTCATATTTCATTTCAAGGCCAAAATCTTTATTTTTCAGAAGATCTTTATTATAGTTATTAGACCAGCACCCCAGATTTCACATCCATATAATAAAATTGGTTTTACTAATATGTCAAATAATTTCAGGCACAAAGTTAGGTTAATATCACCATGTGTAAGCATACTGAATTTCGCCTTTTCTGCTTTTTCTTTAATAAAGATTGCAGCTTGTTTCATCGATCCGTTGGCATGGAATTCCATACCCAAATAAGTATACTTTGATACGTTTTCAATTACCTGGTCCCCAATGTAGAATATATCATTACATCGTTTACCACTTTTATTAAACATTACAATTTTAGTTTTATCAGTATTGATATCTAAGTTCCATTGTTTACAATAATTGTTTAATTTTTTCAATTTTATGTCCATATCAGTTTTATTTGCAGTAATTATGGCTAAATCATCTGCAAATAGCAGGCAACTTATTTTTTTTTTGTAATTTTAAGTCTGATTCAAGTGTTAATTCTTCAACAACATCATTGATGTAAATATTAAACATTAATGGACTGAGTGGGTCCCCCTGTTTAACCCCCCTCTCACATTTAAAGATATCAGTATGGTCACCGTTACTGTTAATTCTAACTGATGCCATTGAATTAGTATACATGTGTTTTACCATGTGATAAAAATGACCTCGAATTCCTGCTTGGAGAAGTTTGAGATACAGTCCCTTATGCCATATCGTGTCGAATGCTTTTCTTAGATCTACAAAGCAAATATACATTTTCTTTTTCTCAAAGTGTATAAATCTGTCAATTAGCGTACGAATAATAAACATATGGTCTGTGGTTCGTGACTTTTTCTTGAAGCCAATTTGGTTTTCCTGTAACATTTGATTTTCTTGAACATAGTTATATAAACGATTATTCATTATTATGGAGAACAATTTTGACAAGCAGTCTGATATAAATAGTCCACGATAATTTCCAGGATCACTTGAATTACCCTTCTTGAAAACAGTTATTATTGTATTTTATTTGCTGATAGTGAACACTTATATAATAGTACCTGACATGCACCTGCCTTTATCTACTTATCTATTAATATAGAAATTGTGCCCTCCCACTCTTTCCCCTTTCTTTAAATTGATATATTGTTCTGGTTTATCTTTCAGAGATGATACTGAGAGGCAAGACATAGTAGTTACTTTAAAAGATCTGATAGGTGTTAAACACACAGAATCTGAGTCTCAAAGACAACTAGTCCACTTCAAACAGAAGCCCATAGCAACAAGGTAAGACATTCCATATCAAAATGGATAAACTGCTTGCTGCATCATGTGCACATGGATATTTTTCACATTATCATGTCTTCTAGAGCCACTGGCTTAATACAAAACAATTAGAATTTTAAAAATATTTGACCACAATTTATCCACTGTATCTATTTCTTCAAGTTTGAAGTCTGTGTGCCACCATATTGTCTTTCCCAAGTAGCACTGTGGTGAAGATATGAAATCTATGAAACAAATCTAAATATATTTATAGTAAGACAATGGGCGCTCACATGCAAGATCTTCTATCAACATTGGCATACTCCCTCCGACAGGAAATTGCACATCACCAAAACATCATGGGTGAACATCTTTCTGCACTAAAAGATTACATAGTTGTACTGTGCAAGGTAAGATATTGTGATATTGTTATGATATTGTGATATTATTGTAATATTTGTATGATATTATTGTGATATTATCATGATATGGTGATATTATTTTGATATTATTGTGATATTGTGATAGTATTATGATATTGTGATATTATCGTAATATTATTATGATATTATTGTGATATTGTGACACTATTGTGATATTGGACACCTAGTTTTTTTAATTTTGTCTTTTGTAACAATTGGATACACTTTACTGATTGCAACCAGGAGGGGGTATTTTAAAATTAGGTTAATGTTAATGTATTGAACAAATATTTCACTCTATTGAGGTGAATACCTGTACATCTTTCACACGTGATATTCCGCGAAGCCCAAAGGGCAAGTGGAATATCACCTTGTGAAAGTGCTACAGGTATTCACCGAAAATAGAGTGAAATATTTGTTTTATTATATCACTGTCTAGCTAAACATCCCTAATATTATTAAGTCATAGGTTAACATTGAAATACATTGAATCTACTCGGTTCGTCTGCCATTTTGACTTACACTGAACTAAATTATTTACACTGAACGAAAACAAATTCTTTGAAAATTCCCAGGAGTGTGGGATATCGCTAGATATCTCACGGTTGTCTTATCTGATTAGCATTGCCATTGAATATCGCCAGATATCCCACGACATGTGACCCGGTTTTGACCAATCATACTGTCGCTAGCTAGATAGTGATATAATAATGTTATATATTATTTGTATAAACAGTAAATATGATGTTCAACAATATGATGATTGTAAATTTGCTGAATAATTATTTTACAGTAAAAGCACTACAGTCTGATAAAGTATCTGGATTATCAGGTGTTCATATTCAAAGGTTTTTAGCATTTGAGTCAATGGGAGATAACGTTTTTTTTAATGATTGATGGAAGATGGGTTGAACTTTGTCCTTACGATCATGGATTTGTATAAAGTATCAGATGATTTTGTCAATAATTTCTTTGTTACATTCATCTGAAAGTTTGCAATCTCCAAAAAGCATAATCTTGATTTCACTAGCCTTTGTTAAAGTGGCAAAGTTGTTATAATTAAAACTAGGCAGCTCCTTCAGGTTTTGGGTAAAAACTTCTCTGGCTCCATTCGATAGAGGGCAATCAAGGAGTAAATGAGACTTAGTTATCCCAACGAACGAAGTTCGGTAGGGATATAGTGAAGCCCTCCGTCCGTCCGTCCGTCAGTCAGTCAGTCCATCCGTCCGTCCGTCCGGAAGATAACTCAAATATTAGTAGACGGATTTTCTTCATATTTGGTGGAAAGATGTATATTGATGAATAGTTTTACGCAAAAAAATCTTTTCAAGATGGCCGCCGCTTTAAAAATGACGGGACTTTTTCGCAAAAATCATAAATTTTTCATTCTAAACCAAAGTAATTAATATTATTGTTTGAAATTTTGGTAGTATATTCGCAACACCTATCTATTTCACATATATTCCGTGTTTTTCATCCTGAGCCCCAGGGGCTGTGTATGGGGGTCAGGAAAACAGAAATTTTCGCTAATTTTTAGATCTTTCTGAAGTATAGCTTTATTATTCTCAAATGAAAGGCAATTAAGAGTAGATTGCAAATATTGTATCTTTTTTCTGATTCGAGCCTCGTTAAATTCAAAATGGCCATCTAATGTACGATTTCGCAATCATTTTTCGATCCCTTCAAAGTTGAAGGGATTTTGGAGTAGATCACAATCATGCTATTATTTTTCAGATTTGTACCTCAGAAAATTCAAAATGGCTGCTTTGCAGGAATTCGCAATTCTAAAATCTAAATTTTTCAATTTTAACCAAAGTAATGAGTATAATTGATTGGAATTCAGTAATTGATATTTTGTTCGTTGGGATTTGCTACTCCGCGGAGTTGCCATTATCTAGTTTGTTGTTGATATCCACAGGGGCAACTGGGGTCTGTAAACTCTTTAAAATTATGTCTGCAAAAATCTGCTCTGGATGCCAGGTCAACTCGGATACGATTCAATTTAATTTCGATAGATCTTTTGAGGTTTAGTTTTGTGGTCAGCACTGAACGGGGGTTGGGGTTATATTTCCATTTATTGTAACGTGACTTAAAGGCTCATAATGAGGGACTGTTCTTGACATCACAAGAGATAGTTTTCCATGTTTTTATTGGTGCAATGGCTGGGGAATTTGTGAATTTTGTGGATGATTTAGCAGATATGTTGTATTCGTGTCGGGCACGAAGAGAACGCTCTACCCCAGGATTTTGAAGATTTCTGTATATGTCATGAACATAGCTACTTATTAACTAGGGACTTTGTTTTGGCTAATCTTGTACATAAGAGTTGCCATTTTTCTTGTCTTCTTTCACTTAAAGATTTCCAATTTAAAGCGGATAGAAATTTGATCTCTGAGGAACCCTTTATGGCCCCAGACACTACTAAGGCTGCTCTATAATGCAGCCTGTCGAGTGTGATTAAGGCAAAGTTTGGTGCGCAGTTGTAGAAAATAGAGCCGAATTCTAGTTTAGGCAAAATAAAAGATAGGTGTATTCTTTCAAGATGTTTGGATGAGATTCTATTTTTTAAAGCGATTAAAGGATTTAGCATTTTGTCTATTTTAAATTTAAGCTGTTCTATATGTTCTTTGAAATCAAGGTGGTTATCTAAGATAACGCCAAGGTGTTTATGGTGTTTTACTCTCTCTATTTCTCTGTCGCTTAAGGTCAAAATAGGGTAATTTCTTTGTCCTCGACCAGATTTGGAGAAAACAAAGTGTTCATATTGAGAGGTGTTTAAATTAGAGATATGTTCAAATATACAGGTTTTACTGTATGTATTATGTATACTGTATTAATGTTGTATCGTTTACCATATCCTGTTGAATAATTTTAATAAGACTAAAAATCTCCATTGTAGTTTTTCCCTGGAAGTGAGGAAACAATTAATTTTTTGATGAAACTACGGAACTGGCTGGCGACTAAGGAGATAAGTGTTTCTGGTCAAGAGTGGCTCCAGTTTATAGATTACAACAATGACATTGTGAGTACTTGTGATGTTGCTATGGGGTCTCAATATCCGTCTGCTCATGTTTGATAATATTGCTCACAATTTTCTCTGAGGATTAAACAATCTGATTTTATTTTTATTTATATTTCCCATGGCACCATTTTTGGTTATAAATATCGCCCAGTCATCCTAATATAATACTAATAATGATCCAAAATATTGTTATTTTTATTTTAGACAACACATACACATTTCCCGACTGTCATTAAATGGACATGTTGTCAAGGTAGCAAGCCAAACTTGAGGGGATATAATTGTGGTTTGTGGACCCTATTCCACACACTGACTGTCTCAGCTATGATACAACAAGAAGGTAAGGAGGGGGGGGGTGAAGTAAAGGTAAATGGGGCAGGGCAGCAGGGGTGGCACCTGGAGTATAGCATTAGCATTTTCACAAACTACCCTTATTTTTTAAGTGTTTACTAGCGATTTGTAAAGTAAAATAAAGAAACCTAAAAAACTAAAATTGTTTGATTATAATGTATCATCTGAAATGCATTTATTGTAGTACATTATCTGTATGTTAGCCATAGGAGTTTTAAAATGACTTACAATATATGATAATTGTATGTTTTGAAACAATAATTTCACTTTCAGATGACGAGAATCCTGACTCAAGAGAGGTTGCCATGGCAATGAAAGGTTACATCACCAACTTTTTCGGCTGTAAAGAATGTGCGAAAAACTTTAAGTACATGGCAGTTACCATTGAAAAAGAAATCCACTCATTAGATGATGCAGTATTATGGCTCTGGAGATCCCACAACAAAGCAAACAAACGTCTCCATGGTGATCCATCAGAAGATCCAGTGTTTCCAAAAATCCAGTTTCCATCAGTCAAAGATTGTCCACATTGTCGGAAATCCACAATCGAACAGTCAGATGTTCCAAAATGGAACGACGAGGAAGAAATACTAGATTTTTTAGAAGATTTCTACTCACCTGAAAAAATAATAATGGACGTTGAAAATTATCAAATCGCGAAAAAATTTATCAAAAATAAACCCAATGATCCCAGAAGAGAAAACGGACCAAATGAGAGAGTAAATCCAAAATTTGCAAGACATTTCCAAAAAGAAAGGACAGAAAGAAATCCTAAAGGAAGAAAAAAATATGAAAATGATTTGCGTTATTTGTCCAGCATTAATACATCTAAGGGCTGGATCATGGACGGTTATGACATTGGAATATGCATCGGTTTCTATGTCATTTCTGCTTTTATTTTAATGCTTATCTACTACCATTTTAGTGTTAATAGAAAAATGAGACTGGGCTGTCCCAAAAGGTAGAAACTGAAGAAAGTTTGGCCAAATCGGTTCGCCCATTTAAATGAAACTATATCCGAGGAATTTTATGTGACTGCATTAAACTGTTAAGTAGTCTAGTCTGTTAGTATAGCTAGTTTATCATGCCAAAAGTAGACTAACCAAAACATTATATCCTTACTAAGTTTAACATCTTTTGGAACGATAGAATATTAAAATACTTTCAGATTCCAAAAGTTGTTTAACTTTGCAAATGGGCTAAACTCACAGTTGAAGTTTTGAGGAACAGTGCTGAATTTCAGTTAATACCAAAAATGAAGATCAACCTATATTTGTTCAATACAGATTTCCATATGTACCAGTTTTCTTTATTCAATCTTATTTGAATGATGAACAGCTTAACTCAAAGTATCAATAAATCAGGTTGGGAGAGGGACCAAAGAATATTTACATTAGGCCTAACCTCTTGAATACCTTTTGTCATTTTTTGCTTGCTTATCTAAAATATACAATGTTCCATGTTCATTTTGGAAATAATTAAATAACATCCACTTTAATAAATGTTTTGTGTAAAAACAAAACTTGTTAAAGTTAGAAGCATTTTAGGGAGAAATTCTGTGACTAATATAGTTGGCACCGTGGGTATTCAAGGGGTTAAACATTTTATCCAGTTCAGCTTAGAGTTCTAGTCAGCTATAATTTGCCTAAGTATATGTATATGCCTTATTTGGCATTAGGGTGCAGGTCTTGGTACTTGTCTATAGACAAATGAAATACTATGGATACTCTGATAGTTTCAATAAGTATAGAGAATTAACAGGAAAGGTGTGGTGTACAGATTGACCCAGAGCCTGTTAATTTTGATTTGGACCAGATAATTTTTCAGCATTACAAAGGAAAATAACATGACAACTGGGCTAAATTTCAATTCTCACAAATAACATGTTGTCTGAAATTCTTATGACACACCCTGCTCAGTATTCCAGAAATACTTACTTTTAGATTGAATACAGTATTGTTGTCTGGTGTACTGCTGATATATACGTGCTTGTAAAGAATGCTTTATATTTGTAATGTATTGTCATATGATGAAAAGCCATGTTGGTGTTGATGATCAGATTTCCCAGAAATTCCCCAGAGAAAAGGTTCATTAGAATGAAGAATTTTAGTTTATTAACGCATACGTACATTTGCTACATATCATAAAAACCTAATCAATAGGGCTGCAGAAATAAATATTTTCAGATATGAATGCCATGCGATGGAGTCATATTGCTCACATGATCTGATTAAGAGTTAGATTTTAAATATTCATATACATATAACAGCTGAATGAATACCATGTAAAAGGAATTATTCTATTGATTCTGCAGTATTTCGATAGCAACAAATATTGTGGGACTGTCATATAAGGTTTGTCATATATAGATATAGGCCTACAAACAATCTCCAAATTTTGCCAATGGAGAATATAACAGGACTTGCATATTTTAGTTAATTTGTGAATTGCAAAATCATATGCCCAGTAAGAATGTCTGATTTATAGCTCATTCTTCATTTTTGCCAATAATTTACAAACATTGAAATTAATTTTCATGCAAAGTTTCAAATAAATGATATTGATATTTGCTCACTGTTATGCTTTGGTGCTCTATGGCAATCTACAATAATTAAAATGGTTGGGTAAAATGATATTGGTCAGCCTTCGGCCAATCAGGATGCAGAATTTCAATGAAGTGTCTGATAAAAGAAAATATTTGATTCTGCTTATTACAACTAATTTTATTTTAATCAACATGTATTATTCAAGCTTGTCTCAGCTGTTTGTGAAACAAAGCTGTTTACCAATTATCATACAAATAATTAATTTTTAAGTTGGCTCGACCTGAATGAAAATTCTCTATTTGTATGTCATCACCATTTTAATTTCATCACCATTTTGTGATACTGACATTCATTGGTTGGATGTTTGCATACAGTGAATTGTAACATCTTTTTAACCATTTGCAATAACTTACTAAGTGGCAACATTTTGTCATGTAACTGCCTCGTGAACAATGGATGTGATCCTGACTGGTATTTTGATTATTCCTTAAAGCACATTTATGAAATTGAGTTCAATAAAGAGTTTACATATTTGGCTATTAGCTTTTAGGTATGGAAGAACTTGCTTAAAATGTCATTTAAATAACAATGCCTTCACTGTCTGAAATAGTCGGAGAATAGAACTAGATTGTATAATTAGATTATATATTTGTGTAAAGTGCCCATAAATGGATGTTTTAGTTTAGCATATGTAAGACAAGAAATTCTGATGAATGCATCTAATGGTTTTGAACTGTTGAAGCCATATATGCAGTTTGAAAAGTTCTGTCATCATCAATGACATATAAATATTTTTTAACAAAAGTCAAAAAAGAAAAAAGAACCAGCCTTGAATAGTTGATTGGAATATTCAGATATATCATTTGATTATATTAATACAAAATTATAGTTTGGCAATGAAGGGGGTTATATTCAATTCAAAGTAAAATGCTAATGCATTCAAATACATGTATATATGTATTCCCTGTTCTGTACACATGCTTTATGTTGAAGGAAGAAGTAATTGATCTCAAAAGGTGCTTATGTTATAAATATAGAACTTATTGATCACCCCTCGTATAACATAATTAGTAGGAAGGTGTTTAACTTTGTGATTGTGAGTAGAGTTGATGAACTTTGGAACCTATTTGCAGGTGATGTTAATTTCAAACTTTCAACCCAGAAGAGTTATTTTACATGGCCGCTTACTTGAAATGTTCTATAACAAATTGCAATTCATTCATTTACAAAGCTCTTCATCTTGCTATTCTCCTGTTAGGAGTGGGTGGATAATTAATTAAAACATGTGAAAGTAAAACTGGTTTATTCAAGAATGTCACTAATCCAATGAACATGTTTTGTTTAAATTAGACCTATCGTCACCATGGTGCTGGATTTTAAAAATATAAGTCATCTTTCAAATCAATAATATTAGTTATAATCTATGTATATTATCTAAATAAAGCTCATTATGTATTTATTGTATCTTAGAAATAATGTGTATTGTTAATTTTCTCAACGATGGAGTTTTATTACAGATATAGCATCTGTACGTTCCTTCAACTGTTCCCTCATTATAGCAATAATGCTATTACTGGTGGGACCCTGAGATTTGGATTGTTTAAATATGGCTGCTATCATGTAAAAATGGCCATCACTTGACCCGAGTAATATTCAAAGAGGATACAATGGGCTTCTCCAGAATGGCTGCCGATTTGAATATATTTTGTTGAGTGGGATTTGCTACTTCGTGGTTGAACAATTATTCTGGAAAATATATATAAAGAAAAAATTCTGAAGAGGAGGTAATATTTTGCTGGATGGCAGAAGTCAGTGCCTTTTAGATTTCACCTGTCTTATACCAAAGAGCAACAAAGTTAAGAATTATCTTACTATTATGACATCATTTAATGGAGTTTGATGCTGTCCCCAGCTCCGATTTCGGTGATCGGCTAGTAAAAAAGGTTTGAGGGTATCATTTTGTTCCAGACACTCTCTAGAGTAAATTATCCTAACTTGAGTAAAAATGTGTGGTAAGTAAATTCGCTATGGGCAGTTAAAGAGGCGCCATCTATTCATTTTCAAACAGGGGGTAGGGGTATAAAATAATTTTTAACACATTTTAATAGTAAAAAGACATTGAAATACTAATAAAATCTTATCAAAAACATTATTTACAACCAGTATGAATTTTCTTGTGTGAATTAGGGTGAAAATAAGGGCATATTTTGAAATTCACTACAGGGGCGCCACCTATTTTCATACTTCTACCACGTGTAATAACTTATTTTAGATTCGTTAAGGTACGAAATGTACTGAAAAAATTCATTCTGAAGGACCTATATATGTTCATACCACATACTTAAAATTGGATCAATAGCTTTTGTATTGGCGGCGAAAATAATTATTGAAATTAAAAATTGTGGCATCATGCAGGATAGGGGTGTCAACATCTCACATGATTAACTTCCAAAATATGGAGCATATGTATCTCAAATGTACTCAAAATGGTGTATGTACTCTTGCTTTGTCATAATATTACTAATAAGAAGTAGAAAAATGATTGTACATTTTAAAAAATATTGATTCTCATTTTGGCTTCTGACGTCCCAGGGGTGACCATATCTCACCTTAATAACTTCCAAAATATGAAGCATATGTATCTCAAATGTACTCAAAATGGTGTATGTACTCTTGATTTGTCATAATATTACTAATAAGAAGTAGAAAAATGATTGCATATTTTTAAAAATATTAATTCTCATTTTGGCTTCTGACGTCCCAGGGGTGACCATATCTCACCTTAATAACTTCCAAAATATGGAGCATATGTATCTCAAATGTACTCAAAATGGTGTATGTACTCTTGCTTTGTCATAATATTACTAATAAGAAGTAGAAAAATGATTGTACATTTTAAAAAATATTGATTCTCATTTTGGCTTCTGACGTCCCAGGGGTGACCATATCTCACCTTAATAACTTCCAAAATATGGAGCATATGTATCTCAAATGTACTCAAAATGGTGTATGTACTCTTGCTTTGTCATAATATTACTAATAAGAAGTAGAAAAATGATTGTACATTTTAAAAAATATTGATTCTCATTTTGGCTTCTGACGTCCCAGGGGTGACCATATCTCACCTTAATAACTTCCAAAATATGGAGCATATGTATCTCAAATGTACTCAAAATGGTGTATGTACTCTTGCTTTGTCATAATATTACTAATAAGAAGTAGAAAAATAATTGTACATTTAAAATAATATTTATTCTCATTTTGGCTTCTGGCGTCCCAGGGGTGACCATATCTCACCTTAATAACTTCCAAAATATGGAGCATATGTATCTCAAATGTACTCAAAAAGGTGTATGTACTCTTGCTTTTTCATAATATTACTAAGAAGAAGTAGAAAAATTAAATGATTATATATTTCAAAAATTTTAATTTTAGCTTCTTACGTTCCTGGGTAATCATATCGCACCATATAATAATAATAATAACTTCTAAGATATGTAACATATAATCCTCAAATATTCTCAGAAAAGTCCTGTCTTTTTCATATTACTAATGAAATGTAGAAAAATGATTGCATTTTTTATAAATTTTAATTTTAGCCTCTGGTGTCCCAGGGGCTATCTCACCTTGATAACTCTCACGATATGCAACATATGCATCTCAAATGTGTGCTCAAAATGGTATAAATATAGTCTTGTTTTGTCATATTTATTGAGAATCATAAAATCAACAGTTCAGAATCAATGGATTTTGACTGTCTCCTCTACAGCTACATATAATTCAGGGCAAATAATATCTGCTTTCAAATATTTGCATCTGCTCCCCAAACACCCTTTACAAGTACAATGGATGAGATTATTCCCTTGCATACCTTGTACCCAACATCTTTTGTAATCCATACAGGAATCCTTTTAGCCTGTCAATAGTGGGAGTACTTTACTCCATTTATGAAGTAATGGCAACTGCTAATGTAAGGTGTTAATATGTTATCCTGTGGCCTGCAATATATGCACCTTGGATTATACACTGAATTAAGGGATTTTTAGTATGTAAAATATGGGGAAAAGGAGCTCTTTGTAATGATAAATCTTTCTAGCCACATTAACATTCTCTAGTTTGCATGTTTGTCATACAACATACATTGATTGTAATGAAATATAAAACTATGATTGTGATGTCCCACACTTCTAGGGTCCCAAAGAAGAGCTTAGCTTTTGGAATGATTGCATTATTCTTGGCACGGTAGGCCATACAGTGAATACAATTGTTGAGATTGGGCAATAACAATATAGCACAACATGACAAACCATGCAAACTAGAGAATGTCAATCAGGATTAGAAGCGACTTATTGCCCTTGTAATTTAGCAGTGGGACAGTTTGGTGTATGTTTGGGCATAAATGCGCCTTTTAGACCTAATTTTTCAGGATATTTTCAAAATTTCGGGTCAGATTTGGGGTTAAGGGGCCAATTTTGGTAAATGAGGCTAGGCTACTCACACTACTGATAGGCTACCAGTATACAAAAGATGTTGCATCCAAGGCAAGCAAAAGACTCATCGTCCATTGTTCCTGTAATATAAGGAGTGTTTGGGGAGAAGATGCAAATATTTGAAAGTAGATCTTAATGTCTCTGGACTATATGTAGCTGAAGCCTGTAGGGGAGACAGTCCAATCCATAAATTCTGAACTTCTGATTTCATGAATCTCAATAAATATGACAAAACAAGACTATATTTATACCATTTTGGGCACGCATTTGAGATGCATATGTTGCATATCGTGAGAGTTATATCAAGGTGAGATATAGTTGCCCCTGGGATGTCAGATTCGGAAGCTAAAATGAAAATTTCAATTCAAAAAAGGTCTAATAATTTTTTCTACATCTCATGAATAATATGATGACAAAGCAAGTCCATATGCCCCCTTTTTTGGTATATTTGAGTTGAATATGTTACATAATTTTAGAAGTTATTGAGGGACGTCAGAAGCTAAAATTAAAATTTTCTAAATGTATAATCTTCTTATTAGTATAATATTATGACAAAGCAAGAGTACATACACCATTTTGAGTACATTTGAGATACATATGCTCCATATTTTGGAAGTTATTAAGGTGAGATATGGTCACCCCTGGGACGTCAGAAGCCAAAATGAGAATTAATATTTTTAAAAATATGCAATCATTTTTCTACTTCTTATTAGTAATATTATGACAAATCAAGAGTACATACACCATTTTGAGTACATTTGAGATACATATGCTTCATATTTTGGAAGTTATTAAGGTGAGATATGGTCACCCCTGGGATGTCAGAAGCCAAAATGAGAATCAATATTTTTTAAAATGTACAATCATTTTTCTACTTCTTATTAGTAATATTATGACAAAGCAAGAGTACATACACCATTTTGAGTACATTTGAGATACATATGCTCCATATTTTGGAAGTTAATCATGTGAGATGTTGACACCCCTATCCTGCATGATGCCACAATTTTTAATTTCAATAATTATTTTCGCCGCCAATACAAAAGCTATTGATCCAATTTTAATTATGTGGTATGAACATATATAGGTCCTTCAGAATGAATTTTTTCAGTACATTTCGTACCTTAACGAATCTAAAATAAGTTATTACACGTGGTAGAAGTATGAAAATAGGTGGCGCCCCTGTAGTGAATTTCAAAATATGCCCTTATTTTCACCCTAATTCACACAAGAAAATTCATACTGGTTGTAAATAATGTTTTTGATAAGATTTTATTAGTATTTCAATGTCTTTTTACTATTAAAATGTGTTAAAAATTATTTTATACCCCTACCCCCTGTTTGAAAATGAATAGATGGCGCCTCTTTAACTGCCCATAGCGAATTTACTTACCACACATTTTTACTCAAGTTAGGATAATTTACTCTAGAGAGTGTCTGGAACAAAATGATACCCTCAAACCTTTTTTACTAGCCGATCACCGAAATCGGAGCTGGGGACAGCATCAGTTAGGAATTCTTAACTTTACAAAGTTTCTGTTAATGATCTCAACATATTTAATAAATTTCTATTAGATAAAATTGCGAGTTATTTTTTGAGGTTTTATTGCAAATGAATAAAAATTACATGACATATCTATACATATACAGCAATGTGTTATTGTATATTTGTTGTCCCCCATATCACCTCTCTATCATGTCTAATATCACTTTTATATGATTGAATAAGACGAATTATCCTATGCCAAGTAGAGTTTTAGGGAGATAAGTTGGTAAGATATATCCCGTATCCTGATTTTGAGGTTTCCATATCCAGAACCTCCATATCTCCCGCCATATCTCCCGCTTCGGTGCATATCTTCCCGCTTCCGGTGCATATCTTCCCGCTTCCGGTAATGCAATAAAATGACTTTGCATATGAATGATTTGTTTTTTTGCACCTTGTACTATTGAAAGGGCCATATGCCCCTGAAAACTCTACTTGGTATAGGATAAAGCAGTTATGTACGGTCGGTTTGGATATTGGGGTCATCCCTCGTGAGACATGCACATCTACCTTCGGTCCCTCAGGTAGATATGCATATCTCCCTCTGGATAAACCCCATATCCAAAACCTCCCAGTACATAACCCTTATATACATGACAACAATATCCATAAACAAAATACTTGAATCTGATTGAAGGTCAATTGACATCATACAAGAACTGCTTCATTCACTTGACATCATACACAAACTTTACTTGATATCATACAACTGCTTCATTCACTTGACATCATACACAAATTGCTTCACCTGACGTCTGATTCCCTTGACATCATACAACAACTGCTTCATTCACTTGACATCATACACAAATTGGTTTCCTTGACATCATATGAGAACTGGTTCACTTGACATCATACACAAACTGCTTCAACTGACATCATAAAAGAACTGCTTCAATCACTTGACATCATACACAAATTACTTAACTTGGAATCATACAAAAAATGCTTCACTTGGCATCACATGAGAACTGCTTCACTTGACATCATACAAGAACTGCTTCACTTGACATCATACACATATTGCTTCACTTGATGTCATACACAAATTACTTCACTTGGAATCATACAAAAAATGCTTCACTTGGCATCACATGAGAACTGCTTCACTTGACATCATGCAAAAATGCTTCACTTGACATCATACAAGAACTGCTTCACTTGACATCATATACAAACTGCTTCACTTGACATCATACAAGAACTGCTTCACTTGACATCATACACAAATTGCTTCTGGCAGACAGAATACACTTGCTTCACTTGACATGTAAAATATGGAGTGAGCCTTACATATATTAAAGGGGCAATAAGGACTGTAGAGAGAAAATTCGAAAATTTTTATTTTTTCTGAGCTATCAGGTCAATATTTGGCTTAATACCTTCTTTGACATACCTATTTTCATAAAATGTATGTATAAACTATCAATTTCAGCATTAAGAAGTGTAAATTCAATTCAAAGCTTCTATAAAGGGAGTCCCACTTATAGATTTTTAAGATCCACCATGTTTCAAGAGGAATATCAGCTGAAATAATGTTCATCCAGAGGGTTTCTTTGTAGATAATGAAAATATATGTTAGTCTTGATGAAATATCCAAACCTAAATATATTTTGACACTTGTCGATGATCGTTGAATGGCCCCCCTGCACTATTTGTAGCACCTTTAATATAATATTATCTGCTCCTTGAGATTCATTAAGGGAGTTCATAACCGTTTTAATTTGGGTCTAGAATCCTTTGTACCATAAGTGTTCCTGTTATATGGTTTGGGATTATTTTTATTGGTGGATTGAGAGTTTGATTTCTGGTCTGCTATTCTGCCAGTTGGGTTATATAGAATTGTGAACTCCTTCTGTGTGTGTTCCATCAGTTTCAGCTTGGCTTCAATGTCTTTGATTTTTGAAGAAGTACTGGAAGTACATAACAGACTTATGTTCAATTTTATTTCATATAACAATCTTTGGTCAAATTGACAGGGTAAGACAACTGATGTGGTTGGAATATTGCAGCAGAATGTAAGCTTTTATCTGGGGATCATTGAAAATAGAGAATATAGTATATGAATCATCATGAATACCAAATTCATAACATCACTATTATGAATAACGATGATAGTTACATAAGACTCCAGATACTTCATTGGAAAATCAAAACTCTCTGGGGTGTGTGGATTATTGCATACATGTAGTAGATCTTACCCATTTGTGCTTCCTACAGTTGAACTACTAGAACTTGATTCAGGGACCTGAAATGAATTTCAATACACAAAATATAAAACATTTAACGTCTGAGATTAACTTTTTAATTGATTTTCCAATGTTCAAATGATATTTTTGTAAATTGTTTTAATTTGTTGCTATATACTAGCAATTTGGTGTTTTGCCCCATTTTGGGATATTAATAGCTTAAAAAGTGGATTTCTGTAAAATCATTAAAATCAGATAACTTTGTAATTGGTATTGACACTGATTTTTTATGACTGGTTTAAGAGAAACGCATGTTCAAAAAGTTCTCCATATCGATACCACTTCTTTCAAACCAAAATAAGGTGACAATACAGCATTTCAGTCTCTTAATGCTCAATGCCAGACACAGGTTACATATTTTAATTGCAATATAATAAAAATGAGCCTAAAAATAGATGATGGACAAGGTTGCATGTTTTAATTACACGAGCCTAAAAATAGATGACGGATAAAGAATACTACCTCTTGTGAAGAATTTGCTGAGCGAACAACCAATTTTCTTGATAACGCCATTTTTCCATCTAAAGCTTTTTGAACCTTCATGGCATCCTGAAAGTATATGTTATATTATCATGACTGTATTTGTCATATTATCATGAAAGTATATGTTATTATCATGAGTTATGGCAAAATGGAAATGAAAACAAAATCAATACAATGTGTAGAGTATGAAACACCTGAAAGTCAGTAAACACAATATAGGCTCAATTTTTGTAAATGGGCTATGTACAACAAACACTTTTAAGTATGTGAACACTATAATTGAGGAATAAAGACCAAGATTTTATGATTTATGGCGTAATATATGACTGGAAATTTTATTCTGTTCATTGTTAAAAGACCAAAATTGCATATAGCGATTGAGGTCTTTGGCAATGACAATTTGAGGTTATAGATTTGACATAATTCATTAAATAGAGGTCTTTGTTACGATTTTAATATGATAAACAGACAATAAACACAACTATTTGGATTTATTTGCTGTCATACATGCTGTAATATAGACCAGTAAATCAATTGTTCTAGCTATTGTGATGTCACATATCATATGCAAATAGAGAATATTCTATAAAATAAGAACAATTTCTTCATTAAATGATTTATCAAATGCTGTTTAAGTCTTTTTATCAATATTACATTTTTACTTACTGCTATAGTTTTGAATGTGACAAAGCAATAACCTCGAGGTTTTCCTATTTGTGGACCTCCTTTATGGGTTAGGAAGTCGAATTTCTTCACATCTCCATGCTTCTGTAGTATTTTTAACATTGCTAATCTGAATAATGATAAAAGAAAAGATGACATAAAGGGTTAGAGATTTACAATAATATCATTTTCATCATACTGAGGCCTTATTTGACATAACTGTACATGTACTTTAAAACTCACATGTTTTTTCACTGTGCAAGAGTTTCTCACAAATAGGCCCAATGGGCATTTATTTTGCATGGGTATTTATTTGAAAGTTCTCGAAAGGAACACCCATGGGCCTTTTTGAAGAGGGAAAATAGTTTTCCTAAGGTGGTGGGCATTTATTATGAGTGAAAAATTGCTATTCCAAGCCAGTTGTTTTTCGAGGGATATCAATGATCCAAGACACCACTTGGCCTTCATACTCAGGCAATAGTATAATGAACATTAACCAAAAACAGAATAAGTACTTGAATGACAGGAATTGTTTTTATAGTAAATACTATATTATCGTTTAAGAAATTCAATGCATAAGAATTCTTTTTGCAACTGGGAGTTCATTTAGGGGTTCTAAAAAATGCCCATTTTCATACACCCCTCTTTCAAATATTCACCTATGGGTCTATCAGTGAGAAACTCTTTTAGCCTAGGGGGAGCGATCACACGCTTAATTACCCTAGTTATTGCTAAAACGCTCACTTACTCAGTGATTCGTTGATCCATATTGCCTATCCAGAGGCGACATCTATTATCCTCTCCATCATTAGGTATCTGATCAAGGGGAACAGGATCACTGTATCCCTGGAGTGAAAAAATGTAAACAAGAAGGAAAAGATAAAAAAAAATATATGACAGAATATTCTTAAGGGATAAACTCAGTGAAATAAAATGGGAAAGCTACAATCTATCTTGGTCAACATATTCCAGACCAGTATAACTGGAGTGTAAATAAAAGAAACAAAATTCATTGTCGTGTTTGGCTGCGTTCCACAATGTAACCTAGCAGGATGGATTTACTTCCTGCGAAAGCTATTTGGATTTTGATATAATAGCTTTCCCACGGAGCATTTGGACAGCTCAATGATCGTGACCTTTGAAATCGAATTAAGTCGATCCGCGGCTTACTTTTGGTCTCTAACTGTGTCTTACATCAGTATCATCAATCCGTGTAAGTATTGGAGCGCTGGAGTACTTCTTTTTCGATCAAGACTTGTAATTGTTAGTCGAGTGAATCGTTTTACTGCCAAATTCCAATATGGCGGTTTCTGCTCGGACATTTTCGTAAATCTCCGGAGGTTGTCCGACCCTAACTAATTCTCAAAATTCATTTTGTTCGTTGCGTATCTCGCAACTAGCAAACCGCCATATTGGAAATAGGTCTGTAAAACTTTAACTCGATGAACAATTTACAAGTCTTGATCGAAAAAGAAGTACTCCAGCACTCCAATACTTACACGGATTGATGATACTGATGTAAGACACAGTTAGAGACCAAAAGTAAGCCGCGGATCGACTTAATTCAATTTCAAAGGTCACTATTGATCAGCTGTTCACTTCTCCGTTTGAGAGCCATAAGTTTCAAAATCTAACATGGCTCTCGAAGTGAGTAAGGATGGATGACATAGAACAAACTGATAAGTAGACTGTTACATTTCATTATTTCGTTATTTTAACCATATGAACTAGTCACTACAGTGCTGGTATATATTAATTGATCAGTCGTTTAATTGGCATATTTTCTTGAATTTTAACATTTAATGTTCCTAACTCCCACAAACTGCAGAAAAGTATACCCCATAAATCATATTTACCAAAATGAGTGTCTCCAAGGCTTCACACCAGCGTATGTATAATGCATTTGTCACGAGTTTGAGCTGAAATTTCGCCAAAATGGAGTAGGCTAAGGGTAGTCTCTGCCAGGTTTGTTTATTGTGGTAAGCTTGTAAGTGCTCAGAAGCAAATAAATCATGTGCGCAAAATAATCAAATAATCTGATTGATTTAAACTTTGCTGCACATGCGCACAATGTGTGCCATGTTTTTTCTAGTGATTTCGTTTCGTTTCATGGAGTTTGCGTTTCAGTGTAACTTCCGCAAAAATGGCGGACCATGGACAGAATTAACAGGTAAAATCACTCCGAAATTTCAAGAGGACTTTTTACCTATAATAGCAAAACTTTTGTTTTATTTGTGCATTCTATCTATCAGATAAGAGTCTCAGGGGTATGTAGGCAAATTCATTTTGATAGGAGCACTCTGTTTAGTTTGAAAACGCACCCTTAATTATTATATATCAGCACTGTAGGATTTCTGTTTTATCTGTAGACTAGAGTCCATTTCACTGTTAAAGTGCGTCAGTAAAAGCTATAAAATAAGAAATCAAAATATCATTTTGCAATAATATATGGAAAAATATATTCCTATTGAACATGAATGACATTTGTATATCTTGGATTGTTTCTAGTTTGGCTTAGAAAGTGTGTGGCCTCTTATATTTGGATGCTTCTCTGCCATGTTATTTTCAATAAGATTAACATGCCTGAAATTCTTCAAATTACAAGACGGCACAGGCTTATTGCACAAAAAACTAAAAAATCTGAAATATACAAATGTCATTCATGTACATTATGAATATACTTTTCCATATATTATTGCACAATGGTCTCCCAATTTCTTATTTTTGCCGTTCTACTGACGCACTGAAGCAGTGAAATGGACTCTAGCTGGAAAAAATTAAAAAGGAAAAAAAATCGGAGGAGATAACTCCTCATACAGACAGGTTTTACTGATCTTGGGAGTTAATTCTGCATTCAATGCTAGGAAACATACATTTCTTTTAGTTTAAAATAGACATATTGATATTCTTACCGTCGAAGCAGCAGTAGAAGACATTTATGTAGCCCAATTTTGTTTTTCTGTAATCCTACTTGTGAAATACGTCATCAACTCCTGTGTGCTCAATTACGAGTGACGTACTTCACACGTTGAATATTAGTACAGGTAAACTTTTGTGTAAATTGAATCATTTCTAAGTGAGCCTATGTAATTGTGTAGCCAATTCTATACTAGATTGAAGATTCATATCATAGCATCCATTTTGTTCAAATTTTACAGCATAACATAAGATGTATTTCATAGAAATATATCATTTGTCAAATTATTGTCTATTATCGCCCTTTTGACATTTGACTTTGACAAGATTGAAGGAAATTCAGCCCTGTCAACCCTAACGCTTAGGCGTGATTGTCTCGGAAAATTTAGGTGTCCAAAATTGACCAGTGTTCAGTAAGGCGTTCAAAATTTGAAGGAATGTGTTCAACATAGAAAGTCACTCATGTTAGATGGTCTCAAGGTATGAGGTTCCATATCCATCCGCCAAAAGGTATGACCCCTATATAGTCCATTTAAAAACTTGTGGTTTTGTTCTAAATAACGCCATAGTTGGTTTCTAGGGTACCTAGTATGCCACTATTTGGTATCAAAATAAAGAGGAGGAGTTCAACTTTCATTTGAATTACGAAAATAGCGATGTAGGTCAAAAATAGTTCCGACGTGAGCGTGTTTACTACGCTTTTGCCCGTCATCTCAGAATTGAGGAAATGGTAGCAAACGCGAGTTACAATAAATGGACGCTGATATCTCAAAAAGTAACCTGACTCCCTAAAATTTGATGTAGATCAATCGAACCCCTATATGAACAGGTACATTTTGATATATAACACTATGGGGGGTAAGTGTTTTATAGTTGATCAGGAACGCCATATGTGCAAAGTATTGTTCTGAATTTTCGAATTTGGTTTTGGATTACGGTACTCATACCTCAAGTTGACAAGCCTGGAAATTGGAAGCAGCACAATTATACTGTACAAGAAACTGTATCTCCTAAAAATTAATATCTTATTCAACGTGGATCTGAAGTTCTCAGAAATTTTCCTAAATGGCTGAAACAGGAAGCACATATTTTTTTTAGTTTAGTATATTTTGTCCACGGATGGAGGTGACGTTCTATCGAAGCTCGGACATTAAATAATGTCTAAGTCTCAGACATGAAATAATGTCCCCAGTCAGTGACTTTGTCCATCAAATTTTTTTTCAATTTTGTTGGTTCCACCTTTTATTTACAGTGCTGATATATACTAAAAAATAATGATAAAGGGTGCGTTTTCAAACTAAACAGAGTGTTTTGCTATTATACTGTAGGTAAAAAGTTCTCTTGAAATTTTGAAGTGATTTTACCTGTTAATTGTGTCCATGGTCCGCCATTTTTGCGGAAGTTACACTGAAACGCAAACTCCATGAAACGAAACGAAATCAATAGAAAAAACATCGCACACATTGTGCGCATGTGCAGCAAAGTTTAAACCAATCAGATTATTTGATTATTTTGCGCACATGAATTATTTGCTTCTGAGCACTTACAAGCTTACCAAAATAAACAAACCTGGCATAGAGTACCCTTAGTCTACTTGGAGAGACACTCATTCTGGTAAATATGATTTATGGTGTATACTTTTCTGCAGTTTGTGGGAGTTTGGGATATTAAATGTTAAATTTCAAGAAAAATATGCCAATTAAACGACTGATCAATTAATATATACCAGCACTGTATATGACCAGGCTAACAGTGGTGATAGAAATAGAAACACTATTGAATAAAGAATTTCAGCCCTCTGAAAGTATGACAGAAAAATGGAGAAAAAGAATAGTGTGGGAAAGGTCCTTGGACAATTTGTTTGAAATTTCTCGGAAAGGTCACTAATATCATAATCAAACGAGCATTAGAATTTTGAATTTTAATAATTGTCCACAAAACGATTTATCACCACGACCAGTGGACTGATTCAATCAAATGATTCTATGGAATTTGTTGAATGGACCTCATTTCTATTGAATGCACCTCATTTCTATTGAATGCACCTCATTTCTATTGAATGCACCTCATTTCTATTGAATGCACCTCATTTCTATTGAATGCACCTCATTTCTATTGAATGCACCTCATTTCTATTGAATGCACCTCATTTCTATTGAATGCACCTCATTTCTATTGAATGCACCTCATTTCTATTGAATGTACCTCATTTCTATTGAATGCACCTCATTTCTATCTTGCAGGAACAAGAAATTCTGCTACTATGATCAGGTTGCCATGGAAGAGAGGTCTAAACGTATTGCCAAACATTTTACAATCGATTAAAATATCTCAGACAAGCAGCTGTAGACAGTTTTCATGCAGTGTGTTGCAATTCTATCAGTCACAGCCAAGACAGTGCAATGGAGGTCCTATCCTACAGATAAAACCAATTACAATTGTTGCTTCAAGAAATTATGCAAAGAAGAAGAAGGATAAAAAAGCAGGAGGTATTTACTAAATATATTTACAGTTATACCTGTCTTAATGAACACCTTTTTCTAGTGAACATCTGTGTCCAGTGAACACCCCTTCTCAGCACATACTACACTGATTTTGTATAAAATTGCCTCTCTGTAGTGAAAACCTTCATACAGTAAACACATTTTTGTGGCTCCATAAGTGTTCACTAAACTCAGGTTTTACTTTATAGATTTACTATATTATATTCTAAATAAAGAAATTCTATATAAGTGTCATACAAATTTATAGTGTGATTGTTTTCACCTATTCTGACTGAACTGTCCAAAACATCTCGATTTATGAATTCAAATTCATTTATTTTTACTTTCTCGCTCGGGTGCAGAAATCCAGACACAGTTCCAGCTCATTTTCAAATATTTACTGCCAGGGTGCAGGGCCTGGTTGCTTCATTTCGAAGCTTCACACACTCCATCTCTTAGCTCCTCTTAATACAAACTAATAGAATGCAAATGTATAATATAAACAATAGATGTAACTCATTAAACAGCATAAAATAATTGAAAGCATTTCATAACTGATAAGTTGATTGCTTATGTTTTTTCAGGAGGAGGAAAGAAGTCAAATAAAGCAAAAGTATCTCTCAGCAATGAAGAAATATCTGAAGTCATAGATATTGTAAGCTTCAATACAGAGATTGGAAATGCCTTCATAAAACTTAAAAAAGATTATGAACAGAACCTCTCTCTCAGGACTTCCATAGGTAGGTACTCTATCACTACCAATGGTGTTGACAAGTTCAGTGGGCTTGATTGTATATACAAGTGTTTGTTAGATAATGTAGTATTGATTGATTAATTGATTGTGAGAAATGATAAATAAATTTGATATTTCAGCTTCTATCGATCGCCTCTCAGTTCACACTGAAGATGGAACTTTTATGTTGATGCAGTTGGCTCAAATTACACAAAAGAATCCTCATCTGGTGGTTGTTAATATGGCAACAAATCCCCAGGTAAATAATCTACTAATCTAGTATTTCGTTGTAAACATCCATCAATGAGTAAAAACTTGACCTTCGAGAGTCCAAACGGTGGTGATATATTCCTCATGTATATCTATATTCTATTATACATTCTATAATCTTTTCTATTTCTGGGTCAATTCTACATCGAGTATTGATGCAAAATGAGTATGAACAAAACCAAATCAGTCATCTACAGGGAGGGCCAAACATGTCCATTTTTTATTTAGCAAAAACATCTTTAAAATGCATAAGAAATACTTTTGATAGAGATGCAGGAGTCACTTTTTGCAATTGTTTATGGAAAATCATGTATTTATTAAAATATAGCAGAAGCAGGATAAAGATTTTTGACTCAACCTGTACCCAACTGTTTTCATATTTTGTTTCAGTATATCCCAGTAGTAAAAGAGGCACTCAGTAGCTCTGGTATGAATCTAAACCCACAACAAGATGCCAACACATTATTTCTGCCAATTCCAAAGTAAGTTGTTAAATATTTAGAATAATAACATGATCAAGACCATGAGGACATGACACTCATTTATAAGTGACACTCATTTGTAAGTGAATAGACTTTGTGAATCTAATCTACATGCATAAATAAGACCACAATATTCAGTACAGCAACACACAAATTCTTCAAATGGTTTCTTGGTATATTGGAAATAGTACCCTGAGGTTGAAAGTGTGAATAATGAATAATGCTCTGACTGGGATAGATAATGCTGATCTTAATAATCTCATAAGTAGCTGGCATGGCTTTTCATGTGAGTTTGAATATATAATTAATGCCAGTTACTTATGAAGGCGTTAAATAATTCTATGATTGCTATTCCAATTGGATTTCGATTGATCAAATTAATCTTCGATCAAAGATGACATTGGTAGGCAGGAATCATTAAGATCTTACCAGTGTCAAACTGTGAAATCTTATGTTACAGTCAGAGGGTTCTGTATGCTAACTGAATTTCATCTTGCATTTTAAGGGTTACTACAGAACACAGGGAACAACTGGCCAAGAATGCTAAAGTGTTGGCTGATAAAACAAAAACTAAACTTCGTCATATTCAAAATGATTACGTGAGGAAGGCCAAGAAAGGTACCGGCCAATCTGAAGATCTAGTAAAAAATGTAGTCGATTTGGTGAGTAGGGCTTATGTTTGTTTATTCAATTTTTGAGAAATTTTGGGTTGTCATTTGTATGGATAAAGGGGATGTAGCTTTTCATAATGAGTTTATACTTTTTATCATATTGAGTTATCTTGAGTTAAAATTATTTATGGTATATTAGTAATTTGACTTCTTAAGATGTTGATAATAAAGCAGTGAAGTGATAAAATAGTTTTACTTTTCAGTTAATGGCCACAACACAAGACTCAATGAGTGAAGTGGACTCTACATTGGCTTCAAAACAGAAAGAACTTTTAGATTCATAACACAGGCTACATTGGGATTTGATTCACAAACAAAATTTACGTGGAAGCTAATAAATGAAGAACGCTTTAATAAGGATTAGTTATTCAAGATGGGGATAATTAAATCTTGGGATTAAAAGATGTTATCATCTGAATATGGTCAATCATCATGTAAGAATTATCTTGTGTATTGGAATCTACAAAAGAAGTGTAAATTCTTTGAATCATTGAAGATTCTAAAAATTGGTGGAAAAGGTTTGATACTGTAGATAAACTTAATTTGGCAGATTCAGAAATGAAGATTAATTTCAGGGATTCAGGACTGAGCTCAAGTTTTATCTTTGATCTGGCGATACGCATTTCTTCAGGTCATGTGTACTATTTTCAGAATTAGGCTAGTTTTATTGTTCTAAGATCCAAGTAATAATACTTACACAAGTGAAATTTTTGGAGTGAAGTTAAAGTGCACTGCACATACTGAAATTTCCCTGGGGATTTTCCAAAATACAGTACATCTGCAAATTGGCAGATTTTTAATTTGGCAGATCTTTTCAATCAAATGCATAAGTGAAATGAAGATTTGATATGCAAAAATCATTTACAATTTTTCAGAATTATTGTCATAATTGATAGCCTTTAAAAATGAGTGCATTTTCACCAATTTTGAGAGTCAATTTACTTTTTAGAAATAGGTTAGTGATAAGGATTAAAGGAATATGTATAACTTTATCTTTAACCATTTTTCAAACCTTGTCTCTCTTAATTTAAATGATTCACTGTATTCATTGTACTGAGAGAACACTTAGCAGGTCTTGATGGTGAATCCAGTTTCAGTGTATCGTTATTTTTTCTTTATTTATAAAAGTAAAACTTTAGAGCATTTACATAACCTGCAGAAATGTTGAACAATGAAAAGTGAAAATGAAATAAATAAAACATAAACCTTTTAATTGAGTTTTTAAAATTCGTTTATTTCCATTAGATTACTATGTACACACTATTTACAAATACTATCTCAGTCTCCATGCAACATGCAAATGATTAACAGTTATTGAAATAAGAGCTTAGAGGAATGCTAATCCCAAATTTATTAAGGAATGCAATCCCTTTAAAAGGCATCATTAAATTTTTAAAAACATGCAATATCTGTTTGACAACCAACCAACATCATAACTTGTGTATGAAATCTTGTGGTTGAAAACCATTTGTCAGTAGTAGACAAAAAGCTAAATAATGATAGCTTATTTTCAACCACAAGATTTCATACACAAGTAGTTGTGGGAGAGATCTAAAAAATCAACCCCATATTTATGGGGGTAAACAGGGGCATTATGCAGTTATGCAAGACAAAGTTTCCCAGACCCTTTATAATTGCATTTTAACGACTAGGACATTTTCCAAAGGAGGATTGGCTCCCATAAGTACCTAAATAATAGCAAAGCATTATGGGATCTACCAATATCTCCTTTAAATGTTTCTCAATACCCTGCACCATTAATATTGGCACATGCACCACACACTCGGAAACACATAAAACATAATTAACTTGGAACGTATAAATTTCTAACTGACATGACTGAATATAGAGCCTAGTTGTCTCATTGCTGAAGAGACCATCATGTGCAGTAACTAAAAATTAACAAAATATCATGTATCATACATAACCATTGACGGTAATGGACATATGACACATTCCAACTTTCTCCTTGTTTGGGACTATTTACTTTTACCAGTGACAAGTATCTTGAGTCCATAGGTGTAGCTTGCCAAAAATTGAAAATTATGTTCTATATAGGATAACATCCTCTGTGGCTAACTTTTCCTTGCCTATTTAAAGCCTCGCATATTTTAGAATCCTAGCTATGCCCAGAGACTTTAAGAGTGTGCACAATAACAGTTTATGTCCTTGATAAGCCATGCTACATTTCATTATGCACATTTTGCATGAAACCACTACAAGGAGAGCTGAACATTGAGATTTGGAAGGATGCAAGACTACTGCATATGTAATTACATGACATTCATAAATATTAACTATAAATATATTAAAGGCTAATGATATGGCAACATGATGATATATAGGTAAACTGAAATGAATATGAATGACAACATTGTCATGGTGATCACTTTACTTCCCTCAAGTCTCATTATAATTTTGAATGATTTATACTTCAAGGATTAACTTTAAACAAATATAATAAGACCTTCTCAAAACTTAAGGTGGGCAAAGGATGACAAACGTTGGACCTCTGCCCATAATGTATGTCTACAGGTACAAGCTAATTAGCAAGATAAATTGTTCTTGACCTACCTTAAGTAAGACTAGTAAAGAGAGAATCTATCATAATTTCATGAAGAAATAAAAACAGAATTGCAGATTAAATAAAACTAATCACAACATTCTGTGAATTTTTACATTTTAGGTAACTAATTTGTCGCACATCACAGTAAATAAATTGGGCCAATCACATTTCAGGACAATCCTGCTTTACCAGCTCCTTATGTGACCTGGCCTGACCTCGGTAAGAATATAATGTGCTCATCATAAAATGCTCTCATTACACAGGTTTCGTAAAGAACTAACTAATTTTTTTGACAGAGAAGGAATGTGAGAAATACATTGGAAGATAGTATACATTGACAGTACAATGACACCTGTATTATTTAAAACAATTTGGGTCAGCTTAAAAAAGAAGGATACAGGCTTATCATAAACCCCAAGGTAAAAATTTCTGTATTCGGTATAAATTATCAGTATATACTTATAATAACAATCTCGAAGTTTGTAACAGGCATGTAGATCAATAGGGGACTTTGAAACCCTAACAGACCAAATACACATTTCATTTATGGGCAATTCTTAATCATATCCTATTCTGTGCTTCTCAACTAATAGGAATCCTTCTCAAAACCACCAATATCTCATATACAATAGAAATATAACAATTATAACCACTGCTGCGCCAACTTTGGCATAAGTTGATCTAAGATTTAGGTATTTAGCGTCCTTTTTGTATTTCTGTGATAGAGTTGAAAGATTGCGGGATTTGTCATCTAACACTGAAATATGAACAAAAACATTCATTAATTGTACATGATTGACAAAAATGAATGCTACGATGAATATTAGACAGGTAAATACAAAAATAGAAAATTGTTTTTGCACTAAAACTTCAAATGCATACTTTTATTTCAAGCTCCTAAAAGCTTTGAACTCTGTAGAAAATAACGCTGAGTCTGAGATCAAAAAGCATTCCCAATATATTAAATCTTTATTTTGGCATATCAGTAGTTCAAATTTATTATAATACATGTCAACCAGAGTCCATAATACAAATGACGTCATTTTCGTTTCAAAACAGGTTTTCAAAAACTTGCAAAAAACAGTTTTTTGTCAACATAAACAGATGTTCAGCATGTCCACAATTTTGATCAATTATATCCCTCAATCTTGGCATAAACTGGTCAATAGCACCATTGATATGCTGTCGAGACAATGAATTCCACTTCTCAACAATTCTTTAAGGGACTGAATAGATGTAAGGGGTTCATGGTTCACCAACTTTGTTAGTTCTCCCCATACATTGTAGTCGCATACATTGGCATCGGGTGATCTAATGAACCAGTGATAAGGAGGTGAATCAATATGTCCTATACAGAGAACCTATTCCTGATCTCATATTTAGATATTTTATATATTTTTTCAAACAAGATGGGGCTCCAAGCCATAGATCCCACAGGACAGTCAAATATTTAAAGGAGGGTGTGCTTAGATTCACCCCCCCCCCCCTATCCCCTGTAGTCACTGAAAGATTGAACGATATAATTGATCAAAATGTTGGACATATTGAACACCTGTTTATGTTGACAAAAAAACTCTTTTTAGCAAGTTTTTGAAAACCCGTTTTGAAACGAAAATGACATAATTTGTATTATGGACTCAGGTTGACATGTATTATAATAAATTTGAATTACTCAATAGAATCAATATTCATGTCCCATTTTTTGGACCACCCAGTACATTCCACGTGAAATAATGATGGTTTGTTAGTTACACCCTCCAAAATGTGAGCTCTTGTTATCAAATATATTCTAACTAGTCAATAAAACATAAGAAATTTGTTATATGTAACTACTGTACATTTAAATACCTATGAAAATGGAATACCTGAAAGAGCTTCTCCCCTTTGTAATACATCATCTATGTTCTGAACCATGATTCTCTGTACATCTTGTAGCTCTGTATTAAGATGACCTAGATTTCTTCTTGCTCTGGAATCTATGTAGGACTTCTTGGCTTTTTGCATATATGTGTCTGAAATGATGTCAAAAATATCATACATTTTGAATTGCATATATACTTCCATATGAACAGTTAGTGAAATGACACCGTAAACACATTTCAAATCATAAGTTTCACTTTTGCATTGATATGGTTTCATTCTTCAAATTTAAAATGCAATAACTCCCCAGATTTTTTTCTGATCAAGATATCCAAATAATTCATACTTTTAATAGGCTGCAAACAGATTTTTACAAGCCAGTTGGCAAGTAGTATTTTTTTACATGGTACCTCATATGTCAAGTCCCAATTTAAATAGGAAAAATCCTGATGTTTTAGTGCTTTCACTGATATTTTAGTCAATTTACCGATTTTCAGAAATCCAGATTTCTTCATATAATCTCTGATTTTTCAACACAACCTGCTTTTTTGTTAGAAGCTCAAGATTTATTGATTATCTTTTGTAAAATAGATTTTTCTCCGGATTTATTTTTTAATCCAAATTTTAATCCAAATTTTCTCCCAATTTTTGGGAATTGTTGATTCTGTTTTTGTTACATTGATTTTGTCTTGATTTTATTTAGAAAAAATATTCTAATTTTTTACTTGACAGGTTCAATGGTATCTGGTACAGCACTTGGTCTTTCGAATGCAAAGTGTCTAAAATAACTTAAAACACATACCAAATTCTATAAAGCTGTAAGGTCTTGAAACTGTGGCTACTTTTTGTCCGTATTGTGAGACAAATTCTGTTTGTAGGTCCTCTAAGTATGCAAATGCTAACCGTTTAGAGAATGATTTGTCGCATACTGTCAAAAATACTGCTCCTCTTTCTATAAGGTAGCTGAAAAATAAAAATAAATTCTAGTATTTTTCACAAAATATTACAAAACTTAAGCAACAACCTACTTGTATAACGGGGTCAAATCAAAATACTCACTTCTGTCAAAAAAATATAATTGGGTTAGCTTGGTCCCATTCTAGTTTGTGACAGCACTGAATTCTTGCATTATTGGAGTTTATCAACAAAATTACATGAAGGATTTCAAGTCAAAATGAAATGAACCATACTGCTTCATGAATATTGACTTAACGACTTAGCCTTTTAGAGAGACAGAGGCGAGGTTTAAAATATGCTTACTGAAATGTTACAGGTCCAGATTCTAAGCTGCATCTTGAAGGGGAAGACATGTTGAGTTTCTTGAAAAGGCTTTTGGCTTGGTTCTGATGCTCCATCATGTTCCTGCCAGTCTGAAATATGAAGTAAGAATAATAAGTCTCAACTCTCAAATATCAAGAGGATCGATGTGACCAGCTTTAGTATACCATTGGAAATCTAACCAGCCAATTTGATAACTTGAGAAAAGGTGTTGATGTTCTTTTTTATGATTTATGTTTATCTATTAGGGGTATTTCAACCATACAATCTTACTCATCCCAATGGTAATTTTAGGCAATTCATAAATCATAAGGCAGACTGCTTTTAACCCTTAAACGGTGAGTTTTACTCTTGAAAAACATTATAATTCATTCCCTTTTAGCGATCTAACACAAGTATTGTGTTCCATACAAAACCAAGTACTTGTTATAAATCGTGCATAACGATATCCAAATCATTATCATCATTTCTTAGTAAGAAACATGGAGTAACAACTTTGGGACAAATTCACTTGTCTATCGATTATTGGACTAAGATGAGGGGTGACAGGCATACATATGATGTTGAATCAACTTGACAGCAGCTCAATCAGTATTTTCAGTAAAAAGTATTCAGCTGATAGGGCTAGCAGTAGCCTAGACTATAGTGGCTCCAAATTAGATTTTGCTGTTGGATTTGTAAGTTGAAATAAAGGACCATAGAGGGAGTTAAAACATCGTCAGCAAATACTTTAGTTCATAAAATAGTGAAAAATCCATTTCAGCAACTGACTTGACTATCATGGACATTATCGATAATGATGAGCTGGAACTTCCAACTCATTCATTCAATTGAATTGATTGAAAAACAGCAGAAGAAAACCAATTGAAAAATAAAATATTTTTGAGGATTTACCTGTTCATCTTCTTGAACTGATGCTGCTAGTGGAAGGCCATCAGCAACCCTAGCTATCATTGTCATCAAAACCATTTTGAATTCCTGTTTACAACTTTAAAACCTGGAACTTCAGTGAGATATGTTTGAATTTTCAAATATTTTGAAATTTTCAGGCTGACGTGTTCAACTTCCGGAAATACTTTACAGTTCAGGTTAATCTATCAACTATATAAGTCTTTGCTTTTTTAAGGAATTATTAGATACAATGCATAAAATAAATGTACTGGAACTTTTACAATGATATTTCTGAAAACCGAAAGAGACTAAAAGGGGTTACATTTTGCTGAGCTTTTTATACTTATGGTTGGGGAAATGTTGCTCGTCTATTCTTCTCTTTCAATTTTCTTAAATGACGTCATTCAGCCTTGACCTTCACAGCCATGCCAAGCGCAGATACCGAGTAAGTACACATATTTCACAAGATTATGGAGAATATAGAGCATTGATTTCATATGTAATATGTTCTATGTGTACATAAATATCCATTTTTTCTTTCAGATTGAAGTCCTCCACCGGCCCCAGTTGGGCTGACCAGGTTGATCAAGTTGAAGATGGTAAGAATTTTCATTATGGCGCAAAATTCGAGGGAATTCTGTCACATTCTTCCTTGTTCTCAAAATGTGATAGCATTTGTTACAGATATTAATCACGAGTGTGTTTTATATATGTCTTGTATTATAGGTTTCAATTAATATGCTGACACATGACATCTGTCAATTTAGTAACACCCATTACTAGGGTTGTACTAAATGCCACCTAGGTGTCCCGTTGAAGTGCCAGACTTACTATATTTGCACATAGCCTCTCAGGAGATAGCTTTGTGCAAACTAAGTAATGCCAGACTAGGGCGAATGGGTGTAAAACCTATATATCACTACATTGGATTTGTTTTTTACTGAATAAAACAGTTTACAATGTCACATTTTCGCATCATTTTGTCAAATTGTATAGACCAAGATCATTTCTCATCGTTTTACAGTTTGGACCATAAATAAATGATTTGTCAATTTTCTATCACCATTTCCAAACCATGAGGGTTTGAAAGCCCATAGTTTCCAATATCGTCTAGAGTCAATACGTCCAAATGCAAACAGGGGGGTAAACCCGAACGGGTTGCAAACAATGGCAACCAAATCATTGAATTGAATAATAGTACCTCTACTACCTTTATATAATATTTATAACCTGAAAGATACCATATATTGATATATACCAACAATCTCAAAATAAAATAATCAATGATGATTTAGGTGTTCGGAATTACCCCATTGCTAGTGTTTGGAATTACCCCTACAAACCCTATGCCTTTGAATAAATAGATGTCACTTATAAATCAATTATATTTGGGGTTATTGATATGCAGGGGTCACAGGATTCAGTATCATTAGTTCAGGGTACCATATAATGATATACCACCAATCTAACAATTAAAACAATTTAAGTTAAGTGTTTGGAATTACCTCCATGCTAGTGTTCGGAATTACCCCCTAAAAAACTCCTGTTTGGAATCAACCCCCTAAAATACATTGTAGTTAAAGTGGTATAACCCAGATTTTTTGACAATTTATCTGAATTTTTTTCTGCAAATGCATTCTACAGTGTATAATGCAAATAACAAATATAAAATTATTCCAAAGATGTGCAGTACAGCCAAGCTAACTACATTTTTTAATGGGGGTGTTTGGAGTCTATATTGTTTCGAGTCTATATACATATCCCTTTTGATAGTTTACATTTTCTATACTAAATCTAATGATGTATGGCCTTTTGAAAATTCTCTTATTTTTTAACATGGGAAATCCTCACTTCAGCATGGTCAAGACTGTAGATATTTAGTAAACTTGACAATAAAAAGTAAATGAAATGCTTCCTTTTGTCTAATTGAAAAAAAAACTAAGGAAAACAGTTATGTGATTGTACACATATATTTATATTAAATTTTCAGGTGAACTCCCTCCCCCAAGTGAAGATTACAACAAGGGCTTGAAAGTTATTACAGAATACAAGTACAACGATGAGGGAAAGAAAGTCAAAGTTGTGAAAACATACAAAGTTGAGAAGAAAAGGGTCCCAAAATCTATTGCAAGAAGAAAGGTATATAACTTTGGTATATATAAACTTAAATATCATGAGCATAAATATAAGGAAATCTAGACCTGATTAGTGATTAAACATGCTGGGTGTTCTGAGTAATAGACTGTGTGTCTCGTTAGTAAACAAAAGACACACATGAAATTATCAACCTCTGATCACAGGGCTTCAAAATCCAGAATATATTCTTTCTTTCTACCCCATGCAATAAGCAGTTAGCATTTCCCCGATTAAGAATGCGCAATCTGATTGGCTGTCCCAACACTGCGACATAAATCATGTATAAGTCATTGCGCATAATAAGATCACATGATTTTGTTTAATCGGGCGCTTCCAAATTGGTTATAGCAGGGGGGAAGAAGGAGGTACGGATTCTGGACACCTGCTTAGGAGGATGGAAATTATTTATTCATTTAATTTTCAGGGATGGAAGAAATTTGGTGCTGCAGAGAGGGATCCTCCAGGTCCCAATCCTGCTAACACTATACTGGCGGAGGATGTTTATATGCAGTTTGTGCACGATAAACAGGTGAGTTGAAATGTCCCCAATAATTAAAATCCCTGGCCTCATTTCCGTCATTTATGTACATTTTAGAGGATTCACTACTTGGTTGTATACTTTCTTTTTTCCAAAATAGAGGCAAAAGAATGACTTTTATATACAGTATTTCAACTGGCTGGATAGAGTTTCTTAATATCTTGAGGGGTCCCAACCCTCTCCAAAATTTCAAAATATAAACTTATTTACGTTCTCTTCCCAGCAACAACTCCAAGAGACCTCAGAGAAGGAACAAGATCCACTTGCTAAACTCAAGGGCAGACTGGTGTCCTGTCGTATCTGTAAAGGTAAGTCTAGAACCTGCTTTGTGTTTTGAATAGGACTACATGATGTAATGTAATCCTTTATGTTATGTGTGTCTTATTGGTAATGTGCTCTTAGATGCAATGTGTCTCCAAAGTGTAGTGTGTGTCATTTCATTTATGTAATGTGGTTTTTGATGCGATATGTGACCAAGGTGTAGTGTGTCTTAGGCTCTTCACATGACCCTCAAGACATTTTGAGACAATATTCCATGTTTAGGATTTTGCAAATATGGAATTTCCATTTTATTGCCAAAGAATTTCCATTTTATTGCCAAAGAATATCTTTTATTTTGGTAAAATGGGTTTAAATGTCCCCACTCAAGAAAATGAAGCCCCTGTTTAGGATTTTCTCATTTCAGACAGTCCCATGACTGAAACAAGCTAATCAAATACTGTGCAAGGAATTGCATTATGTCTCTTTAAGGAAGTAATAAGATTTATTTAGTTTTAAGATAAGTAACTTAATCCCTATCTTATTTCACTGTGCAGGTGACCATTGGACAACAAAATGTCCTTACAAGGACACATTAACCCCCTTGCAAGATGCCTTGGAGAGTGCTGACAAGCCTAAGCCTGAGCCTGGAGCAGAGAATACTGAGGCTGCTGCAGCTGGAGGTAGAACAGCAGGAAAGTACATCCCTCCAAGTATGAGAGATGGTGCAACCAGACGAGGAGAGTCAATGCATAACCAGAAACGAGGTACAGTAACTCATGTTCATGTCTGTCTTTGCAAGTCAATAGAAACCATTTAACCCTAGACGTGCGCTGAGCAAGTTTACTCGCTTTGACGTCACATTCCATGTAAATGATCCTCACTTGATAATGTTGAAAGTGTTTGCAAAAAGTCAGAAGTCTTTTCTTTAAATAATTTGCCGCTATTCTTCTCCAAATGTGATGCTTTTGATAGTTGATGGTCTTGTTAACATTCATACAACATATTTTTTACAAAATAAGTTAAATAGACACAATATTTAATGAAACAAAAATATTTTTAAAATTTTTATTTCGAAAATATTGACTGGAAGTTCAAAACAGGAAGTGGCGGGAAGTGAACAATTTTTTTATTTATTTTTTGGATTAAATTGAAGAATACTCATCAAATATGAGGAAATCGATCACAATGTATGATCAGGTGATGATATTAGAGGTAAATCTATGATTTTAACTTGTGAAAAATGAAGGAAATATCATTGATATATGGGTAAATGGTGATCAGAATATTTTGAAAATTTTCAGACAAATCTCTGTCATAAACTTTGACTTAAGTCAATGTATAGGATTAGATGACCCCTTATAACTCTTAAATATCAATACCCGGACAAGTCAGTCTCCACGGAATGTATGTCCAAAACAAATCTGCGCTCTAAGGGTTAAAATAAGTGAAGTTTCATCAACTTATTTTATTTTTATGAATGATTTTACATGAAATATTTGATTTAAAATGTTGAATACAAGACAGAAGAATTGGCTCATTTTCATAATATTATGTTCAGTCCCATCACTCTATTTAGATGCACCCAAGTCTCATAAATTGTGGTATTCATTTTAGTAATGTACTTAGTGTTTGTAACATTTAAGTTGTTTCAGAATTCACAATAAAGATGACTAATATTTATTTACATTTGACAAAAATAATAAAAAGCATTAATTGCTAATTTCAGATGAGTCTGCGACTATTAGAGTGACAAATCTCTCTGAGGACACCAGGGAGGCAGATCTCCAAGAGCTGTTCCGACCTTTTGGTTCCATCTCCAGAATTTACCTCGCAAAAGATAAAATTACAGGACAGTCCAAAGTAAGCTATTTGCTCTTGAACAGTTCAATAACTCAAGGTGCTCGCACTCTCTTTTGGCTCAGCTAATAGCCAAAAGAAACCAATCCTCACTTTTATAGTTAAGACAAACTTTTTCTTATTTCAGTAGCTAAAAGAGAAAGTTTTCCTATTAGCTGCTCTAATATTTAGAAGGACACTTTCCTCACTTCACTTTTTTTTTAAATAGATTTGAGCAGGTTGAGAGTATTAAAAATAGAGTGGAGTGTGTGGAGGGAATAGGGAACTCAGTTCCTCATGCTTTGTAGTATATTATTTCATGTACAGTAAAGTTCTCTCCTTTTATCTTAGTGTTTGTAATTTTACTTCCAGGGTTTTGCGTTTATTAACTTCCACCGGAGAGAAGATGCTGCGAGAGCTATTCAAGGGGTCTCTGGCTTCGGTTACGATCATCTCATTCTCAATGTGGAATGGGCCAAGTAAGTACATTTTTTATTTTTCTATTAAGAAAGCCATGTCACTCTGCTGAAATGGCGCTGATGTTAATTTATTAGACTCTTGATTGGAAAATCTAGTTCAAAGTCTAGAGTAGAAAATTAATATGATGAAATTCTTGTAATAGTCTTACATTGATCTATATTCAATTTCACCAATTTAGTTATTTTAGTTATTGTGTTGTTTATAGTACATAACAATCCTTATAATCTGCCTGCAATATTTTATAATAAAAACTATTTTTCACAAGCAAACTTATATTAGAAAAATGATTTATGCATCCATGGTGTAGAATGTATTTTTCTTACTTTTCAGGCCATCAGGAAGTTAAAATGTGAAATAAAGTATGGAGGGCAATTCTATTCAACATTCTGCAACATTTTGCTGTCATTGGACATTATTTAATAACAATTATGGATAGCAAAATTACAATAAAACTTATTAACATTTTGAAAAATCATCATGACGTATGTGTGAACGATTTTCACATAATGCCTGGGTCACATTTGCTCCGATCCATCGGCCGGCGCCCGCCCAATTGAGTGTTTTGTTCAATATTGCATTCAATTTTTAACTAATACTCAATCGCACGGGTGCCGTAGTGAAAATCGGAGCAAATGTGACCAAGTCATAACGTAGGAATAAAATATTTGAGAAATAAACATAAAATTGCATTTCTGTTATTAATAGATGGTAGTCTTAACTTGCGAACATCTGATAAGATGGAATGTTACTTGTTCAAAAATATTTTTGCACAGACTTTTATATACACTATATTGATTGGGTGTGTCATTTTTAACCACTCCTGTAATGGGTCGTTGTAGAACTATGGCCCGTCTTTCTACTATGTGAGGAAATAACCATTACTTAAAGAATTTGCATTGTAAATTTTAATTATACTGATACTTTAGAACACATTAAGCCTTGATTCCCCGAAGTATCACGTATTCACGGACTGTCACCTTCGGGCAAAGCAGGTCATTTTTATGAATCATTTCAAGTTTTTCATTCAATTTTTTTGTAACTCAAATACTGCTTATTTGCAGTGAAAATGAACAAGCACATGCAATGACAATGTCAATGGTCATAGGAAACGTATTATAATCCAATACTAAGTAACTGAAAAAGGAACGAACGTCCTATACTCGAAATGATATTGTTTCTATTATAACTTTAACTATTTAAAGAAAACTTCCAATTATTATCCTGGATAGTCTAAATACCAATTAGAATATTTCTTCAAACAAGTACGTCTTCCTTAATATAACTCTGATCAATGGGGCGGACCAATCAATTGGGTGGAGCAAAATATTTATTAAAAATATAGCACTTGGTCATTCAAAAACATGTATGTATGATATTCATGTCCAGCAACGCCCATGTATCTGTGATACGTCTGTGATATTCATGTCCAGCAACGTCCATGTATCTGTGATACGTCTGTGATATTCATGTCAAGCAACGCCCATGTATCTGTGATACGTCTGTGATATTCATGTCCAGCAACGCCCATGTATCTGTGATACGTCTGTGATATTCATGTCCAGCAACGTCCATGTATCTGTGATACGTCTGTGATATTCATGTTGAGCAACGCCCATGTATCTGTGATACGTCTGTGATATTCATGTCCAGCAACGCCCATGTATCTGTGATACGTCTGTGATATTCATGTCCAGCAACGCCCATGTATCTGTGATACGTCTGTGATATTCATGCCCAGCAACGCCCATGTATCTGTGATACGTCTGTGATATTCATGTCTAGCTACGCCCATGTATCTGTGATACGTCTGTGATATTCATGTCTAGCAACGCCCATGTATCTGTGATACGTCTGTGATATTCAAGATTTAAGTGTCCATCATTTACCGATACAGTTCTCAAAATGTCAATCCATTCCATTTTCATAAGACCCCTTATTACAATGTTTATCGCTGGTATTTCGGAAATTTTCCAGTGGACTGGTGACCGTCTGGTTTTTAATTACATAGTATTTTTAGCACATGTTCAAGTTGATGTGTTGAATCAGAGATTCCATGAACATAGTAATCTTTCGTTGAAAAAAGTGCCCACTTACTTTCTAACTCACTGGTGAGTATCAAGCGAAGGTGACAACAGTAACCTACGCATCTAAGATGGCGAAAGGTAATTGTCGATTTTGATATTTTTAGTTTTTATCAATGAATAAACACAAGGAGCACACGCGTCTCGAACTCGCAACTTCGTGGTTACGGCGGCCAAATTTTATAGTTGACATTGGGCTTTGCTATTTGAACTAAATCAGGCGTTTATGACATGGAACTCTGGAATATGATAATTTGATCATATATCGTGCGTGTTGTGATATTGTTTTGTGTTAATGGATATGTCGCATTAGTGTTCCATAAAATAACAACTACAATGTTCTATATAACAACAACTAAGTCCACTATACAGATATAAGCTACCAGTTATTTATTTCGTATGTCCAAATATAGATCTACAATCTTATTACAGTTCAAGCTTTTCAATAATGACTTTCAATTCTGTATTCAGTCTCTCGTTCCAAACTCTTATCTTCCAAGCTCAAAGCAGCTCTCTATTTCAAAACTCAATTTGGCCCCGAAGGGCCCTGGAGGTCCTCACCACCAGACCCCCAGGCAAGCTGCTTTTCAATCAATCAGACTATCAGTCCTAAATGTCCCCGATTCTACAAGCTTAAGCCTTTTTATAATAAGTAATCCCAGGCTAAAAAATAAACCAATAAAATCAGAGTTTACCAGTTTAGCTTAAAGATACAGACTCACATGAAAGGCCATTCACAGATTAAATATTGAATATACATTAAATCATACAATACTATAAAAACAATCCTACTAAGAAAATATATTTAATAAAACTAGTAGATTTTGAATTCTGAGAAGGATAACACTAATGATAACAAATAAGGCCTTGCATGGTTCTCAATTATTAATTGTATGTATAGTGAGTTTATCATCATTAACATTACAGATGTTTATATCATTTACTAATATGGGATCTATTTGTCCTGATGCCATGTTAAAAACGTACAGTAAAAAGAGTATGCTAGATAACATATAGAACTAGTTCATAATAAGTTGTCCAGCAAAAATTGTAGATATCGCTCTTGTCTCTGTACACGAGGCATCTTGAATTGTAGTTCAGTGGTCTTCTTATTGCTCCTCAGCATTAGCCGTCGCAGATTGTCAAATGTTTGAGTCTTCACCTGGAGTGCTTCCATTGGTTGAATCTTGCCATCATCTCGCATTACTTTATAAAAGGGAAACTCCTCACAGAGGGATTGGTCAAACTGCAATAACAGTATATATTTAATATTACCAAAAATTAAATTCTTTAAATATTACCATGCACTTGGTTTCTGTGAGAACTAAAATTGTTAAATGCATTTTTCTCTGAATCACTTTCATGCATGGATGAATTAGTTTCTCACTTATTTATCAACCAATTTTTAAAAAATAACATGTGAGGATGAACTAGTGTGAATTATTGCTTATTAAAAGATACCGGTGACCTCTAAAATTCAGTATATTCATAATATATTTTTGATTTGATTTTTCGAACAAAAAGTCCTTCAAAACCACTTTTTCAAATTAAAAAAGAAGTTTCATATATCATATTTTGGTCACATTTGGTAAGATGTCTTACTTTCTTTAGCTCGTCATCTGTCAGTTTCACTTCTTCCTTGTCTTTGGTAACTTCTATGAAGAGAACATAATGCCTAGCTGTGGTCACAGCACCTAATGTAATGAATAGACTATGTGTATAGCAACAAGCAAATATATGAACGAGAATATGTTGCACGACCCTACCATTTGGATTTATTAGAAATAACATTGATGTGTGTCAAAATCTTTTTTAAACTTGTCTGATCATTTATTATTTCTTTCTCTGGATTTATAAAAAATAGAGATAAATAAACCTCATTGCAATTGTTTGAATTTCTTGTTTTTGTCATAATTTTGATTGAATGCGTTGTGTGCTTCTTACCTCTAAGCTTAGATAGGTTAATATTCTCAGTGGCTGTGTAGTCGACTATCCTCACTCCCTTTAGCTGGTTTACAGTATTCACAACTGAGTTCATAAATGTTCCCTCAGGAGTCTTCTCCCATACAACATTCAGCATCTGGCCTGCCCTGTTGACACAAATCATCAATGTACTTTATGAATTTAAAACAGAACTCATGTATATCAATTACACCCCATGCGGACAGATCGCCTAAAATTACATTCGTATGATGTGAGACTCGTAATTCACCAGGAAAGTAGAATCATTTTGTCACCCGTGATGCAAATTATTTTTTACTGCTTAGTAAATGATGAATGACAATCATCATATTAAGTTCTTAAAGTATGAGAATAGCACGCCGTCTTGATATTTCAAGGTAACTCGTTCGAAAAATGATGAAATGACGACGAAAAGATAATACCGCAACAAAATATTTGTAGATTTCTTTAAAAAACTAAGAAATATAATCTCATATTGAATTTTTAAAAACATGTATAAATAGTAAGGCATGTAGGTCCGATTCCCCCTGGTAGCATTAACATTGGTCTCGTATACGTCATACATTCAATTATTATTTGAAACCCAACTATTATTCAAACTTATGATCGGACACAAGCATGATGTGTACTTAGAACTATGTAATATTAATAAAGTTACCTCATACTTATGTCCGATCATAAGTTCGAATGATAGTTGTATTTCAAATATTAATTGTAAATAATGCTACTAGGGTGAATCCGACCTGCAGGTCTTACTTTTAATACATGTTTTTCTGTTTTGTGATGTACATGATGTATATTTCTTAGTTTTTCAAAGAAATCTACAAAATATTTCATTACGGTTTTCTCTTTACATCGTAATTTCTATCACCGGCATCACTTCCCAAACGAGTTACCTTGAAACACGCTGTTCTCATACTTATAGAACTCAATGTAACTGACCTTGACCATTTATTAAGCAGTAAAAATTAATTTTCTTCATGAGTGACAAAATGTTTTTACTTTCCTGGTGAATGTCGAGAGAAGAAGAAAAGGGGAATTTTTATTATATAAGTTATCTTAAAATGCAAAGTCCTCAAAAAGACATCGAACCATTATCTGAACAGTTATTATACTGTAGTGTTTTACGAGGAAATGAAATGCTGGATCCGGAATTGATGGGGTAGTATTCCCATTTATGTGACACCTTATATTATCACAGAAAAAAATTATACAAATACCTGTACTGGAATTCGTAGACAGGCATTTTGTTATTGTAGCCAACAATCTTGATGACATCTCCAAATCTGTATCTGTATAGTCCATAATTGTTGGTGACCAGTAGTTCATAGCATTTGCCTACCTCGATCTGTAAATATAAAATAACACATTTATATGGATCATTCAGACTATAAGTTTTTTTCTCAAGAAACATTTTCTGGGTGTGATATTTCGAGCTTTGGTGAAGTCAAAATATTAAAGAAAAAGTAGATGAACTTTGGATACTTTGATATGTAATTATGAGAGGCAAAACTATATGTATACGTCTGATCAACATTTGCATATTGATTTTCAAATCAAGATTTTTTGCAATTCAAGAATAACTTGAATTAAATGTGTGCATAAATTGCATGGTGAATGTTAATATATATTTGATGCCTGGTCATATAACGCATTATGACAGGTTTGGTCAGTTAAGTCCTGACTTATATTTGACTTACTTGATGGACTCTCAGAGGTTTTGCATTTTCATCATCCACAGGTAGAAACTCATAGAACATTCCAGAATTCAAGGTGAACTGTGAATAACTTTGCCCTGGCGTCATGTTTTGTGCCATTATACCCTCAGAGGCTGCGTGGGCATGTGATACAATAGGGATCTGCTCTCCAATGTAGCGTTCTTTCACTATATCTCCATATATCTTAAACGATCCTGTGGATATCATCATGATCATTGGCAAATGTTGCCATATTCTTGGACCAATACCTTCAATCCCTTTGTTGAATTCCTTTCGCAGTTCATTTGCTCTAATCTTGTCTCCTTTCAACTGTTTTTCCAGTTCTTCCCGGATTTTCGAATCAATGTCCAAATCTTTCCATATTGTTCCCATTTCTATGTCATCACATAAGTGTTGCCACTTGGACTCTATTAGTTCGAAGAATTTAAGACCAACTGAAGCTAATGGAATCATGATATGGTTTAGTTTTCTTTCCTTCATTCCGTAAAGGGCATACAAGTAAAGAGCCTCATCTTGGGTTGAAACATCAAGTACCATTCGAGGGGCAGCTGTGCCTGGAGTTGACATTTTAAATCGCCCTGCTAACCCACCCATAGGGATTCCTCTGTCTGTGTATATCGGGTCTTGAATCACATTCACATCTAACGTCTTTAACAGTTTCAACTCGGGAGAAAGGGTTTTTCGTAAGATGTAGTTTGCTGCCAAAAAGGTTTTGAAGATTTCCAAGCCTCCAATTTTGTTAGCACCGGAATTGGAGACTGGGTATTTTTTATTATGTCCAGTAGTACCTGAAGTAAGTACGATGTAGGTTGGTGTAGAATTGGCAACTATAACATCTGTCTCCCCTGCAATTACTCTATCAAAATATTCCTCATAATGATCATATTTAGTGACTGGATGTTGCTCAATGAAATCCTCTGGAGATTTGATCATAGAGAAGTTATGATCAATTCCATATTTGGTATTCTTGTTGGTATTGATAAGCTTCATGAGGAGTTTGTCCTGTGCCTGTTTAGGGTCAGTCTTCAGCATAGACCTGTATGCCCATAGACCCAGAATTCCAAATATTCTATGTAGCATGTATAGGCCAAGAACTGAACGAAGGGTAAGACTTTCTCCAACCTCCAATCGCAGAATATCCAAGCATCCCACACCACATATTCCTGAGAAAAAATATTTTGGTTAAGAACTATCATGACGTTTTTCACATTAGCATGTAATGGGAAAATTATAAATAAAAAGGAGTGGTATCGATATGGTGAACTTTTTGAACACGCGTTTCTCTTAAACCAGTCATGAAAATATTCTGAAAGTTTTACACATCGTCAATTTAATGGTCATCTTTTGGATGGTAACATTATAGGTTGAATTTAATCTATATACTTTTCTCTTTATTGTTTTAGAAAACACATCAGACACTTCTTTCGTTCTTGGTATCATATGTTCAGAATGAAATGAAACATCTATCCGAACCTCAGTGGAACACAAGAACACAAATGTGTACAAAATGTCCCCACCAAGTGGTGATCCCGTGAAATGGTTATCCTGAAAATGAGTAGACAAGACTTTACCAACACAATTTGAGGACGGAAAATCCAAAGTGGCCACCTTAAAATTTACCCAGAATGCCAAAAATTTAGTCAGTTCTAGATTTTCATACTAAGAACCACCCCTGAAAATTTGAAATTGATCCGTCACACAGTTAACCAGAAAACATGTAAACAAGACTTTACAGACAAGATTTCAGGATGGAAAATCCAAAATGGCTGCCTTGACATTTACCCAGAATGTCAAAAAACTAATCTGTTTGTAGATTTTCATACTAAGAATCATCCCTGAAAATATGAAATTGATCTACCAAACGGTTCACCTGAAAACGGGTAGACAAGACTTTACAGACAAGATTTTAGGACAGAAAATCCAAAATGGCTGCCTTAACATTTACGCAGAATGCAAAAAAAGTAATCAGATGTAGATTTTCATACAAAGAATCATCCCTGAAAATTTGAAATTGATCTATCAAACCGTTCTCCTAAAAACGCGTAGACAAGACTTTACAGGCAAGATTTTAAGACGGAAAATCCAAAATGGCTGCCTTGACATTTACCCAGAATGCAAAAAAACTAATCAGTTCTAGATTTTCATACTAAGAATCATTCCTGAAAATTTGAAATTGATCTACGAAACGGTTCACCTGAAAACGAGTAGACAAGACTTTACAGACAAGATTTTAGGACGGAAAATCCAAAATGGCTGCCTTGACATTTACCCAGAATGCCAAAAAACTAATGAGATCTAGATTTTTATACTAAGAATCATCCCTGAAAATTTGAAATTGATCCACCAAACGGTTCACCTGAAAACGCGCAGACAAGACTTCACAGACAAGATTTTAGGACCGAAAAATCCAAAATGGCCGACAATAAAAAAGTCCTTATGAGTTTTTGGTGATATCTTTTTACAAAATTATCACATATAACTACTGTTAACAATAAAGTAGGCTTTTACAGCAAAGTACACCTGAAATTATTTATAAAGCTACTAAATAGTTAAAGTATGAAAACTCAAAAACACCATTCAATATGATACAAAGTATTATCGCGCGCTAACTTTTCTTAAGACATTCAAAATGGCTGACATGACTGAGCTAGCAGGTCCAAAACCTAATCAGATCTAGAATGAAGTGAGCTGAACAAGATGTTAAAGTTTTAAAAGCAACTGTGAAGCAGTTTTTCTTAAAGTTTGCAGACAAGGATTTTAGCATTTGACTTCAAAATGGCCGACAGGAAGTAGGTATCGAGTTAATTTTTTTTCATCCACATCTGTATGCACTCATAAGTTATCCCTGAAAATTTGAAGGTGATATCTGTAGCGGTTTTGGAGAAAACTGCCGGACGTACGGACAGACGGACAGACGGACAGACAGACGGACAGACAGACGGACGGACGCGCCTAGGCCGACAATATGGCCCCACACTATGTGGTGGGGACATAAAAACGACATAAACACAACTTTAACAAAACAATTATATAAAATATATAAAAAATAAATAATTTTTGCATTAAATTGTTGGCAATCAGTGAACATTACATAAAGGACCTTGTTTTTTACAGAATGTTTTCAATAATTGGTGAGAAAAACATTGTTGAATTCAGTTCACCATATCGATACATATTTAACGCACAAATCTATATGCTGATATAAAAGGTTTATCAAATACGAATTTTTACATATATGTTAATTCACGAATTCTTGGATTATTTCTTCATCTTAACACACTTTGTTGATGGTTTGACATATATCTGTATACAGGGTGGGCCAAAATAAACAATACACACGTAAATTAAAGATGAATATCATATGACATATAGTTCTTAAAACTTTCACATTGATACTTCTGACAAATTCTCTATACCATGATACCATGGACCTTCCCTTTGCTCCACACTTGATGACACAATTAAACAAGCTAATAACTTATCCCATTTCAAGAAATCATATAAATCCAACCCTCTTTCAAAATATTAATGATAGCAGTTTAAATCAATCTCATTAGGCATATCATCACTTGTAATTGCATTTTATTTTATCACATACTATGTAGAACAGTTGCAACTTTAAAATCTAAAAATAAAAATTGACATAATCTAAAATGTTTTATTCTAGTTTACACCATGTTTACACCATACTCGTTTACAAGTTTGATTTTCATGCCTTGTTTCTAGTTCAAGTTAAACCCAATACCACGGCTTTCATCTGAATGTTATTGTTGCCGTGATTGGGTTTAACTTCCGTGCTATGCTTTCATTTGTTGCAAATTCTCACTATCCCTTATTAATTAAACGCGCATGAAATTCTATGCGCTCGCATAGCCCACCATTATTTTTTTTGCATTAAGGGATGGATAGGCACAGAGGTTAAACCTAGGGCGGGCCACAAGATATGTCAGATAAGAAAGAAGGCCCAGACTAGGTTTAACCTGTTGAACTAGCCTTGTTTCATACCTTGGTAATCCAAGATGATTTTACACTCTCACTGGTTCACTTACCAAGCACTGTAGCGACAATAAATGCCCATACTCCTTGTGTGTTAAGGAATATGTATCCGGCCAAAGACAGGGCCACTCCACCCAGGAGACAAACCTTGCTCTTTACCCCTATAGTCATCTCTATATACTGCTGTAGACAGTATATCGCCTTATATAGCAGTTACCATGTACATGCACCATATAATAATATCAAACGTTGATAGTACTAGACAAACAATCAAAGTGCATCAAGGAGGATTGGCTCCCAGGATCGAAACTCGATATTTTCCAACAATGAAAACGTCGAAATGTCGTTATTTTCTGAAATTAAAACCGACTATAAATTCAAAATAAACAGTTCAAAAGATTCGAACCAATATCTCGATCATTTCTTGTGAGTTTTGGAATTTTTCGTTTGGAAATAAGACCAAAATTCACGATTTAAATGTTGAAGTGAACAAAATGGCGGCTGTTTGAATTCGAATTTTGTATTACGACATACCCATATATGGGACAGAATATCGGTGGTGCACTCTGGGAGCCAATCCTCCTTGAAAGTGCATGTTAGTACACACTATCCTACCTCGATCGCGCATGCGCGACTTTCAACCAGGTTGCCTTTGGGTATATCGACTGCTAAGTAAACAGTTTGGTGCTCGGAGTGAGTCAATATTGTATACGCTTAAACTTCAGTGGTGCAATAGTGAAGTCCATGTTCCAAGTTATATGATGGTTGAAGAAAGAATGTAAATATTCTCCTCAAAAAAAGTTAAAGCTCAGTCTTTTTCCTCATAGGTTTACAAGTTAAACCCCATGTATCTATTTTCTAAGCCCGAAATGAAAGAAAACTGATAATGTAAATGGATATGTACAATGTACATTGACTCTATTCTCTATATTTCAGGAAATTTTCAATTTATTCTCTCTATTACAATATGTCAAAAATTGATGGCAAAGTTGAGGAATTTTTAAAAAGATGGCAGAACACATGTTAACCAATGGGAAGGGTTAGGGGCAAATCAGATTTTTGGATATCTATTCGGTAAAACATTTATTAAAAATAAATTCTGAGTAGACAATTGAATTGTTTTACTTTCTGCATGTTTGGTGTTAAGCTTACTTAGTGAGAATTACCGACATAGAGCATCAACCGTTTTTTTGACAACTCATTTTTGACCCCGGCTGTGTTATTTCAATGGGAGGTTTATTGAGAAATGATTTTGACTTTTGAGATTCATAACTTTGCAAAACCTGGAGAAACAAATCAATATTTTGTTGTAGACAAGTTAGCAAATTCAATTGTCTATTTAAATTCGATTTTTGAGAGCAATTGAATGCATGGATATTTTCTTATATGACTTTTGGAAACAACCACTTCCCATTGGTTTACATAGGTTCTGCCATTTTTTTAAATTCCTCAAATTTGACATCATTTTTTGACATATCGTAACGGAGAGATTGAATTGAAAATTTTCTGAAATATAGAGAATAGAGTCAAGGTGCATTTCCATTTCCATTGTCAGTTTTCTTTCATTTCGGGCTTAGAAAATAGAGTCTAAAGATACATGGGGTTTAACATGTAAACCTATGAGGAAAAAGACTGAAACTTTTTTCATGTATATATATATCCTAAAATAGCTATCCTAACTGGACTTTAAGTTCACCATTTTAGGCAATTTAACCGCACAATAAATTCAACCTAATCCTCCATCTTGTTCATAATAGCCTCTCCTGACCAAACCCCTAAATTCCTAAATTCCAGTATTCTAATTGGCTACTAATAGACTAAGACCTTGACCTTAGAGCTATAGGATCTGCAGGGCCTTCAAACTATTCTGCAAGGCGTTCTTGCCACCAAATTCAAAAGTTGGAAAAGTTAATGTGAACTTTACAAATCTTACAAAATAAACTAAAATGCAATTAATGACCCTTACAAAATATTTGTAACAATAGAAAGAGGCTATAAATAATAAAAGTAACAACGAGGGTTGTTACAATGTCACCACCAGAAGTATGGACATATTGTCTCCAACTTTTGTGTATGGCGGTCAGCGTCCGTAACAAATGAAAGGTGGTGACATTTTGCATGTTAATGCCTTGTTGATCTAAAGTGCCATCAAAGACTGAGAGAGTGTTAAATATTAGAAGCAATTTTTGAAAAGCGTGCTATTGGTGTTAGGAGCTTATAACTATTGTAAAGTTACAGCAACCACTTTTCCATTTATTTTATTTAAGCATGAGAATATAACATTACATAAAAGTCTTATTCAATCGCATTTTTAGCATTACAATCCAAACATGTAACCTTGTATTCGCGAATGCAACTTCCGGCTGTCGGCTACCGGATTAACCTACTATTTTATTACCAACTCATTGAAATATGAACAGTACCTGTCACTATTCCATTCATATCTAATTGAGTTTGACATAAAAAAGGTAAGTTAATCATGTAGCCGACAGCCGTTATTTGCATTTGCGAATACAAGTTAAGATAATATCAAATGCGTATTGAGGTGCTGTTCAGGCATATGAACTTCTGTGATCATTTTGCATACCTTGGATGGTGATGAACAAATTTCAATAATGTCTATGAGTTACGCTTTTGAGTTGATCTAGCTTAATATTGGAGTTGTGTGTCTGTCGGAGGTACCCGGCCACAGAAACTGTCTGGCAATGCTCATTTTGCATACCTTGGATGGTGATGAACAAATCTCAATCAGTTTTATGATTTTATGATCTAGCTTATATTGGGAGTGTGTTTTGGGGATACCCCAAAACAAATTGCAATGATCTTTTGGCATACTGTCTTGGTATGGTATGGCAATGAACTATTTTCAATTATTTCCACCTTGCCGGGCCAGTTCTAGGGGTTTTAGTGCTAGTTTAGAAAGCATTAATTTTACTATATCGAACTGAGCAATATGTGACGTCAAAGTGGCGGTCAATATTGCCGGTCAAGAATGCAATTAATGACCGGCAATTTTCCTTGGGAAATAAGTTATCGTTCAGTGCGTAAGATTTTCTTGCTGTTTCAGTGGTGGTGGTAATAATACTATTCGAATTCGGCCCTCAGTCCAATATTTCACTTTATTATATCATTGCTAGAATTTGTGTCCTTTGATTGGTTGATTCAGTACCATGTGATCAAAAATACCAAAGCGTATTTCACAGCTCCCTTAATTTTTGAATTATAAAAGACGTATTGCCCGGCGTATTGCCCGGCGTATTGCCCGCCCGGGAATTCTTAATCATCCCGTTTCGTCCAGTACAGTTGTGACGTGCATTAAAATGGCAGACGGAAAAAGATTTAAAAGTCTGAATTCCGATGAAAAGAACGACATCTTGAGGGATGTGCATTCTAAAAACACCATTAAATCAACGGAAAGGTCTTGGAACATTTTCAAGTGTTATGTGGACGAAAAAGATATCGAAATAGACGTTAAATCTATCACTAAAATTGTTCTGGATGGAATTTTAGAGGATTTTTTTCTTGAACTGCGAAAGAAGGATGGGGAATATTACAAGAGTGCCAGTTTGCAAAGTATTCGTCATGTTTGTTTATTTGTTTGTTTGTTTGTTTGTTTGTTTATCTTTATTTCCTTCTCAAAGAGCTTTAGAGAGACTTTTGAGGGACTCAATAGGCACATACAAAGTCTACGCAATGATATAAATATCATCAACGACTCTGAATTCATCAGATCAAAGACAGCTTATGTTGCTATGAGAAAGCATTTCACAGGTTCACAGGTTAAAACAAATAGTATTTCTTTCTTTGAAATGCATTTATTGATCGTAGCGAATGTCTAGCAATGATATAATAAAACAAATATTTCATTCTATGTTCGGGCAATACCTGTTGCACTTTCAATGATTTTTGCAACATGTATTTCCCTCGCCCTCCGGGCTGCGGGCAATACATGCTGCAAAAATCATTGAAAGATGAACAGGTATTGCCCTCCATAGAATGAAATATTTGCTTAATATTGCCCTTCGAAATGACGTTATTGTACTATTAATTTCATGAGATACACTTTTCAGTTGATTTAGTTCAATTCTTGTGAGGTAGTTATATAATTCTTGGAGGGGTCCCCCACCATTAGAAATGTCTAGTCTGTTAACGGTTAATAGTTCTTGAAAGTATAAGGTATAATCAAACACCATAAACATTAGTTACACTTTCCAGTTGAACTACTCCAACTTTTCCATCCCACTGTAACAGCCCTCACAGCCACACCCATCATAACAAACTTGCCATACTTCATACTGACAATTATGGAACACAAGCAGCAAAATTACATTGATGAAACTTGTTTTTCAGCTACCCTGACTTTTGGCTTGCTGGCTCCCGGCCTATTCATTGACCATGGTTGATCTCAGGTCTGGAAACACCCACACTGACAATAATTCGCCATAACATTGATTTGAACAGGTAGTAAAGAGACACTTTGCCAGTCTTAATCTGGACTAACATATACAGGGTGGGCCAAAAAACCAATACCCTAGTTTAAATATGATTGATTCATATGATATATCTTAAACCATGCCATGTATAATATATTGTTTTAAAGGCCCTTACAATATAACAACATCTGATTGAAAAACGCTTGTTTTCTTGTGGAGTTAGAGGCTAAAAATGACACCAGAGGTGTCACGAGTGGCCAAAAATGGAAAAATGAAAATCCCCGAATTTCCCTTCATACCATAGTCACAGCTTCACTCAATATGGTCGACTGAATCATTATAAATCTATTTAAGAGTAATACCCAGTTGATAGTCAATTCAAGGGAATAAGTATTATTGGTGAATTTTGCACTAAAGGTGTATAAATGTACCTCTTTTGAAGGTGCCAAAGTTTAAATTTTCCTTCATTTCAACAATTTGGAAATTCGCAGTGAATAATTATTTTGTCGCTCATGACATCCCTGGTGTCAATTTCAGTCTCTAACTCCACAAGAAAAAAACGGGGTTTCAATTGGATGGTGTCATTTTGTTAGGAAATGATTTATCTTTAAAGTGATAATACATGTCATGATTTAACATATATCATATGATATTCATCTTTAAACTCAAGTATTGTTTTTTTGGCCCACCCTGTATAATCGATGAATGACATCTCCAATTATGGTGTTCATTTTGGGATTTTCCAATGAACATATCAAAATGATTTTTTCTATATTCCCTCGATTACTGTTCTTATTTGGCAACCCACCAATTCTGTACAAGATAACTAATTCTAATTAATTTTCACTTCCGTTTTCTAGACCCCACGTAAATGACTATGAGCGTCATAGATTGGTATTTAAACAGGATCTCAGTTATAACTTTTCTTCATCCTACGTCTGGGAAGACATTATTGCTTTTACTCCAGAAGAATTAGTTTTGAGAAAATAAAAGTTGCTAGACTTATTCATTATTTAGTATTGCCAACAATGAACATTTTCTAGTTTAAGGCATAGAGTAAGAACTTCTTAACCAGTAGCAGGGAAATATCAAATAGCAGCACATCACAAAGCACATGGAAATGATAATGTGACTGAGACATTGGACATCATCGTACTGTATGAACAACGTCAAGGTGATAAATAATCTCGAATAAGCCGATTGGTACTTCAGTAAGGAAACATTAGAAAAAGGATACAGATTCAAATCTTAACAAGCTCAATGGTAAGTTGAATTATGTTTTTCTATAATAGATTCTATAAAACTAGTCCATTATTGGAATTTTGTTTGATTTATTTATGTTGTAATAATTTTTCTACTTATAATTACACGTACTCTTATAAAAATGTAAATACAAATACAATGTCAATGAATCAAATGTTTGCCATCTCTCACGAGTCAAACTGGATGGTGCTGATTGTTCCGTTCTACAATGTGCCTTTTTATCAATTAATAATCTTTCAGACATCTTGTGTAGTTAATAAATAAATGACATATCTGTTTTAATGACCAATTACAAGGGTCGTTCGAGTTTTCACGAATGCTTCTCAAGAGAAGGGATTTTATTGTTTTACATGAAAGGACGATTCTCGGTTTGGAGAACAGTCTCCTGGGCTAATAATTTTTTTCATGAAAAATATAGAAATATTACCCAAATTAAACTTTGAATATTCAAAAGAGAACATTTAAATCTACAAGATGTAGAAATAACAAATTGGTCTGAAGCAGGGATAATGCTCAATTAGACCGATTCAATAAAATACAAGTCTCGATTTGGGGAAGGTAGTTCAATAGTGTACTGCGCTTATATTTTTTGCGAAAAATCTAGAAATATTACCCAAATTAAATTATAACTGTTCAAAAGAAGACATTCAAATCTATATTATGTAAAAAAAAATCAAATTTGTCCGAAGCAGGGAAAATGCGCATTTAGATTGATGAACTGCGTTCTCCAAACCGAGAATCGTCCTTTCTTACGGATACAGTATTACCTGTCTTACATTCATATCTGAAATTTCAGGACCATACACAACAAGCTTCTTGAGATATATTGACTTTAGAATGTAAACCAATGGTCTTATGGTCCATATGCGGTCATTAAATTGAATTAATTTCGTGAATGCCTTGAAAGGCTGAAATTGTTCGGTCATTCTGTGTTAGTCAGGTTATGTTATAATTGATGTATAATAAATCGATCAAAATATAGAGTTCTTATGTAGTCTTCCGTTGCAGTAATGCATTACTTGTAGCATTCTGTCCAGTCTTTGAAACCATGTCTGAACCCTCCTATCTATAGGATGTCAAGCCTTCTGATAACTACAGCTACCTTCAATACATTTCCCTTTGTCTAATTCCATCTTGGAATACCTAGCAATGCCTATAGGAGTCATCGTATGCAATGTCTTGATGCATGAATGATTTGAACTTTGAACTTGTGTAATTCTGTTTTCCCATTCTTTAACATGTATTCTATCAATGTTTTCTGCCTCAACTTTATTATTTTGAGTTATATTCTCCAATATTTCATAAATTGATATGAGAATTTTGATAACGTCATAAAATCAGGTGATTTGTTCAAGATGTTTGAAGAGTATGTTTACGGTCATTCTTTGGCTTGTTGATAGTTTATGTAAGTATATTTGGGCATGTTTAGTGATATTGTGCTTTATATATTACTTGTTTTCTCTTTAACAATGATATGGACCGTGTCGCAATCACCTTGGTTACCATAGCAAGCATAAAATGTTAAGAAATAATCAAACATACATGAAAACCTGACAGTGTAAGGGAATAAGATGGGGGCACAAACTTACCAAATATGAACACGATTGGTTCATTATTTTCATAATTAAATATATTTGTGCAAAACTTTTTGGACAACCCGTGTACTATAGTTTTGATATTATGAGCTACCCGGGTGGGCTTGTTACAAATTAACAGGTTGAAGTAATAATCATTTTGCCCCTCCCCTTGACAAGACTTATTTTTTATTATTTAAAAAAATGAAGACGTACTAGTCCAGACGTACTAAATTTTTTATAAAATAAGTATGTTCATGTTATTCCTAATGGTACTGTATAACAATCAATACAGTCATATTTTTTATCATAAAATGGAATTTTCCACAGGGCTGGCACTGAAATTGAAATACGGTAATTTCAGAATTCATAGAAATGTATATAAAGTGAATAATCTGTGCATCCAAATTAGTCTCAGGAGTTTATTAAGAATCGGAAGTGACACTGTACCACACCATTGGAGGTGTAAAATTCCATCAAAATGCTTCCTATTTATTTAGAGAAAGTAAATAGTAATTATCTTTGTTCAGAGATAAATGAATTTGCAAAAGTAATTGCCATGTCACAACGGAATAGCCTGACAACGGTAAAGTCAGATACCGTTGTCACAAATGGCGGACGTAACCGCGTCGCTTCAACTCTTTAATCACTTGGTCCTCGTTCCATGGGACTTTATCGTCGCTAATTCTGCGCATGTGTTAAGCTCGTGTGATGATGTATTATATGAAATCCCAATTTCTATCAATGGGGTCGTGAATCGCCACAATATAGCGTCTTCGATATCGTCAATCCGGACAACGGAATCTGAATTTGAAATAATTTACGAAGACAACGGCATATGATAAGATGTGACAACGGACTATGGTAGATGTATTGCGTTGGAACATAGGAAAATGACAACGGTAAATAGAATAATAAAAATTTCAATTTCAAAACAAACAAAATTTGATTGCTTAAATTAATAAAAAAAACACTGTACCCACAAATACTGAGTACAGTAAAACATGTTGAAGTGTGGAACACATTCGGTACCTCCAAAAAGTGTTCCACTTATTCAGGTTCATTTAACATTAAGTCAATTGATCTTCTAAGGCCTCTGAAAAGTGTTCCACTTTTTAAGGTGTTCTACTTTCCAGGTTTCACTGCATATTGTCTATGACCTTCTAGTGAAATATCATATTGAAACTATTCAAAGCCATTCCCCAGTGAACTGTTTCCCTTGAACTATCTAATCAAATATTACATCATTAATCTTTAATGATACACGTGATAAGGCTATTCACATATCGTGGTAAGCCACGCCCTCCATCTGTATCCTTCTGCGATGCAACAGAGAGAGCTGCTATGAGTATCAGAATGGGCTATTCATACTTCGTAGATAGATAAGTCCAACATCATGAAACTCTATCCAGTTAAGACAATGACACTCATGTGTAGGTTGTTAATCATATCACAAGCGTACAAACTAGGCTACTTATGTAATAATAAGTATGACAACCTGCTGGGAATTATTATTCCAAGCTGCGTTTGTCTAATTTGTCGCCTCCATCTAGATGGATTTTCACCCTATTCACCACACTATGCCGGGCATGATTTTTCATAAATATTTCAAATCAGTCAAATAAAGCCAAAACAATTTAGATTTATGTCCCAGGAAATGCACACGATACGGTATTTCATATAATTGCCCAGGGTATTTTTGAGGTTCTGGTGAAACTGATAACATCATTCAGACTATCACAGTAAATAAAAATAACAATCCAGGTGCTTATGGCATGTATGAAAGTTAAATGGTTAGTGTTGAATGAATGTCCAAAGATTTAAAGGGTGACGCATATCGTTTAGCAAATCGAACGCTCGTTTCTGGTGTTGCTCACCGTTTAGTATAAAAGGCCCGATCCCGGAATAATACTCAAGGGTTCACAGGTTTGAGGTCGTTGTGTCAACACCTCTAACTGTTATATAGCATAAGTATATTATAGATCGTCACACATTTATAAAAGGGTGATTTTTATTTTGACAAATCAATTCCACATTTATGGATGAAGTTTCAGGATCTTCTATTTGTGTATAATAAGGAAAAATTGGCATCTAAATTTCCCCATAACGTAATAGCACACAGCTTGGCATATGAAATATCCTACAAATGAAACAAAGCAAGACAAACCGGTTTCTAATACAAGGATTTATATTGGCTGTTGTACATGTATTCTTTGAACGCAATCACTCTTTGGATAACGTTTTCAAAATCATTATAAACGGATTACTTTATCTCAAAGACAATTTCAATTAACTGGATTTTACAGAACTCCCCTTATTTCTTAAAAATGGACTGATCCAGTTGATTCGCCTGGAGCCGCCATATTGTTTTTATACGGGATGCTAATCGGAACCCTTTAAGCCCTGGACTCGGAGCATTGTAGCCTGGTTATCATTCCTCAAAGGTGCTGTTTCAAACTTTGCACGAGATGCGTGGCATCAAGTGCTAAGTTTAGGAAACAATGCCTGGGCGGAATGAATCAATCACAATGCATCAAGTCTGGGGCTTAAATTATTTTCGCACATTACAAATATTTATACAATATCACCTAAAAGATACGAAAAGACTTCAAAATATATTTTCAAGGAAACTTTGCAAGGGTCAAGTTGTCACATTGACAACCATTCAACACTTACCATTTGACCTGCACAAGCACTTGCCTTGTTATTCCCTGGCGAAAAATCATTCATTCAAGTGTATGAAATATTTTGCAATGTGTGAAAAGAATTTAAGCACTTGACTTTAATCCACTTACTATGCACTGTTTCCTAGTCTTTTGCATTTGTGCTGTCACACTCATGCCCGGCACTCATGCTAATATCTGGAAACAATACAAACATTGTTAAATCATCCTACAATGCATTAAGTTCTGGGCTTAAATCCTTTATTCATGCATGTAATCACCGACGACAGACCAGGGGGGGGGGGGCTTTTTGAAGGAGCTACATGTTATCCTCCATGTACTCGTACATAGCTAAAAGTGAGAGGAAGCTCTCTTTTAAGAAGTAAAGTCAAATAAATGGAAAGGGTAAAACATAGATGGACACATCATATACTATAGAGTGTCACCTTGAATTTCTATGAGCAAGCAGCAAATGTATTGCCTGAATTACTAGTTATCGAACAGAGAGCCATTGCATCAGAGAAAAGCAACCACTGAGCAATAAATGTGGGCTGGCTTTCATTGTTATAAATTAACAGCTTGGTGTAATAATCATGTCAGTTAAATTGTGTGAGTAATGGGATATCTTCTCCTAAAATGATAATGGTAATGTTTGTTAGAATCAGTACATATGCAGTCTTCCAAAAGAGTCAAATGATAGGAGAAATCAATCATTCTGGAATCAACTTGAAAAGATTCATTAATCATTGAGGCCTAAAAATAACTAAGATATAGAGCAAATATGTTTATATGAAAATGACCATGACGTGATGACATAATTATGCTTCATTACACCAATGAAGCATAATTATTATGTTATTTTCATTTTCACTTTCATCAACTTTGTATTTTACACCATTTTTTGTGCACTGGAAAGTTTAATAATAAAAATCAGTTTGAAGAAAATAAAAGCATAGGTCACCACCTTCATCTTTTATTATTCCTCTTTGAAAAAATACAATTTTATGTATGTTTTGTTTAATATATTGCTAATTATGTCAAAAATTGCAACAAAGGCACATTAAAAATGTCATTACAGGGTAAATTCATCAAAATTATTTATCTTTGTGAAGTAAAAAATTCAATTTTTTCAAAAGTGTGGTATCAAGAAATGCATATGTCTTAAAGCTGAACACTCATCAAATCATTGCTCCTATGCTATAGCATGGAGTCATCTTCTGCCAGTGAACAATTACATTAACTTGATTTCAGAATGCAGACAAAAATCACACCTGAATAGCCTGACAACGGTAAAGTCAGATACGGTTGTCACAAATGGCGGACATAACTGTCGCCTCAACTGTTTAATCACTTGGTCCTCATTTTATGGGATTTTATCATCACTAATTCTGTGAATGTATTAAGCTCTTGTGATGATGTATCATATGAAATCCCGTTTTCGATCAATTTGGTCGTGAATCGCCACAATATAGGGTCTTCGATATCGTCAATGACAACAGAATCTGAATTTGAGTAATTTAGAAAGACAACAGAATATGGTAATTACAGTGTCCGTTGTCCCGCATCTCATTTTGATCAGTTAAATTAAAGACTTTATTTCGATGGTAGAACATTATTCACTGTACAATGCGTATTAAGACACTCTGAGTAATTGTTGTTCCAAATGAATTGTAGTCTGTTATAGCATGACGGTTACGCCACCTCTGAAAACTAGGTTGGACGGCTACGTTCACTGATTTATCCAATAAAATGGCCGCGATAGAACAGAAAACTAAGGTTGGTGCATTATTTTCTACTACTGTGTATCAATGAAAGAATAAACGATTAATGTAAGCATCGCATTCGGTGATGCATTTAGTAATGTTTATTTTGAACGTAGTCTTTGCAAATTGATGCCCGGGGATAACATGAAATAAGGGAAAAACTGTTGAGTTTGAAATTCAAAACTACACAAAATTTTGCAAATCGCCTTGACGTCACCGTCATGCTATAACACCATGTAGGTGCTCTATTAAACATACATTTCATGAAAATTTAATTGAAGCGACGGTTATGTTCGCCAATTGTGACAACGGTATCTGACTTTACCATTGTCAGGCTATTCCGGGGTGAAAATTTAGGTCACTGAATTTTTTCCTTTTTACAGTTTTATAAATGTAGAATATTCATCAATGCTGAAGTAATACTAACAATTTAGATTTACACTCTTTGAGCAAAACTGAAAGTTGTAGACCGTGACTATATAGAATAAGTGATATGTACCTGAAAATAACAAGAAATTACAATTAGGAAGCCATTAAAATTTCTGAACATATGGAACTACATTAAATCAAATTCATTTTTAAAATAAAAATAAATTGAGAGCCCATAAATTACCTCCTTCATTCCTTTGCAGGTCCTCAATGCATGATGGCCCAATTGATTGAACAAGTAATGATTGATTGAACACAATATAATATTCTTTCAGATGATCTCAGGCAGGAATATAATTTTGATATGGGTTATTACTATGACAACAGCTTTACCATGGAAACTCACTGAGAAGGCTGATAAAATTGCAGTTATAGAAAACTACTGCAAAGATGACGTCCCATTAAGTAATCTATGTGACTGGTGTCAACAAGACGCTCATATCTGCTGCGAAGACAAGGCACTGATTCGACACTGTTTTCAAGTGTTCATGAAAAATCTCCCCAACACTGCTGATGGGCTCAATGACAAGAAGCATTCGGATTTGAAGTTTCCTTTGGATGAGGATGACTACATTAACCATCCAGACATCGCAGATTACTATTACAGTAACTATGACAACAATGATGAGGGGTATGATATTGAATCTGAGCCTCAACAAAGGAAACGTTACGGTGCACTTCACAAAAGGGGTAGTTTTCGCCCACAACAAAAGCGCCATTCAAGCAGAAAAGATGAAAACGAAATCGAAAAAAGATGGGGTGTCATGGACATGATGGGAATGAAAGTAAGATTTCCATCTGTATATCAATATCAACGAGGCAGATTTAACGCATATGGCAAGATTATGTTTCCGACTAAAAAACGGGAAACGCTGAATCTGAATTCATATCGATGGCCACTATTTCCAAAGCAAGAGAAAAGACTGGTTAAGTAAAAGTTGGTGGAAAATGTTATGTTATATGAATTTATGGAAAACTAGTTCTAACCCAAAGTTTCAACAACTATGACTAACTAATCCACAAAGGCATCAATTTGACAAAATGTCCCCACTAGGTTACATTTACAAAAGTGTTACAATTGTTACAGACAGTGGATGCCAGTGTGAATGGGATATTGATAAAGCGGCACTGAAAAGTGTTTACAATTCAGTGTTACTATACACACATATTAGTACCAAACACGTGTAATTTTAATATCTCTCTTTTCTCGTGAATACACTCTCTTATTACATTCAATCAAATAGATTAATTATACTTAATCAAATATCTCTTTACTTGTAAATTTAATATATTAAGTGTATATGTCAGGCATCTTCTGTGTGTTGAACTATTAAACTCAAGGCAAATATTGGATTTAAAGTGACACTATGTTTTTAGGATTTCTTGACTTTAAAGTGACACTGTATGTTTTTAGGATTCCTTGAATTTACAGTGACACTGAATTTTGTAGGATTCCTTGAATTTAAAGTGATACTGAATGTTTTTAGGATTCCCCGAATTTAAAGTGACATGTTTTGGAATCTCTTGAATATATAAGTTCAGTTCATTATACATTTATTTCAATTATATTGCAGTAAAAAATTACATAGGTTGCTGCCCAGTGCAATGTGCATTACAGGCTAGCGTTTTGAGATGAACATAGATCAAATTAATTAAATTAATTGAATGATTTATACATACAAATGTAGATTCATGAAATCAATTATTGTTCAATTTTAATTCATCAACTCGTATGTACTACTTATGCCAAACAAACATTGTTCTGGAAATTAAAGACTTTTTTCAAAAAGGAAATCTGTTTGTTACTTATTACTATTAGACTGCCATAGACTGATGGGGACTGATGATGTATGAATATTTTGTCCATGCTACTTACAAGGCAATAACATGACAACATATCACCACCTCGGAAGTTATTGCAAATGGTTACAAAAGTGTAATAATTACGCAAAATATATTGGACTGAATATTGAAGGAAGAAAGTTTATGTGAGAAGGAAAAATATTGTTTCATACATGAGTTCTGACATATAGCTGGTAAGTAAATGTTTAATTGGAATAAACTCATTTTACTTCAAATTCTCAAAACACCAGCTCCATCAATTAAAACAAGATATATACGTTGTAAGCACATTTCATAAACATGACAATACCAGGCCTGTCAACTTGGGAACACCTAACATGAGTGACTTACAAATGTTGAACACCACCTTTCTTCAAATTTTGGACCCCTTGGCCCAATGCAGAACACCTTGGTCCACATTTTGAGCACCTTGGTTCAAAATATATTGCATGTAACCAAATTTTGAACACCTCAAATGTTCGCAAATTGGGATTGGACACACCTTTTCATTTTCATACACCGGACAGAATTTTAAATATGCCTTAAAATTTAATTGACATAATTCTAAACTGTTTTGGCTTTATTTGACTTATTTTAAATATTTATTAATTTTTTTCAAAAATAAATGGCGTGACTTCAAATTTTCCAGCAAATGCGTAACAAATACGCAATTGCGGGACAGTTGGACGGCCTGCAATGCAAAAACAACTGTAAAGAAGGGGTATTTCAAACCTGCGGTGGTACTGGTTTTTTTAAGTAGGCCTTCTTTATAATTAAACACTCATTAAACTGCCAAAATCATTTATTTTTGGATAACAGTCTAATACAGCAAATCAGTTTGAAGCTCCAAAGAAATCAGCAGCCCTTGATATACTTTGATGTCTTGAATATCTTAGGGGAGTTTATAAGTGTACCTTTCACAAGATATATCTGTTCCTCTATCAAATATAGTGTTTCAAAGTTTGTATATTAAGTGCAAACACATAAAGGTTGTCGTCTACACTCAGTAATCTCTCGAGATTTGGGAAAAAGGGTTCTGCACAAGTATACAAAAGTAAAGGGGTATGTCACTTATATCGTAACAAGAACATCTTATTGATTCTAAGAGATGCATGGATACAGTAGTGGGAAGTTCTCCATGATACTCTAAAATAGATAGAGTATAATGGAGAACTTTCCACTACCTATGAAGAGATGGTCTTGGTATGAGATAAGTATGTCTCTAATTCTTCTTAGCGACAAAAAACCAAGTCTTAGACAGCTATATCCTGTAAAATATTATTATCAAGTATGGATCAAAAAGAAAGAATTACCTCAGACTGATTTACATTTGAATAAATGAACTAGTCTAGAAATGATGCATGAATGTAAAAAAGTATTTATTAGACCACAAAGCTACATTCTGAGATTTCAATAACATTGGTATTTTGTATAAGTCTAATTAAAACAAATACTGTACATACAGTACATAATATCATAAGAGTACGTAAAAAATTACAATAACAAATAGGTTATAGCAAGATCATTTCAAATAGTGTAAACAAATTGAATGAATTCTTTAGTGATTAGTAATGTGTCATTTGTGCGTTTATATTGTTAAAGCACCATTTATATAATATCAACAAAATTGTCACTTCCCTCAAAACATATCCATATTTACGATACCTTAGATACTCTTAATTTGGCTACCGTTTTAATTTGACAGATGGGGGATTGAAAAAATCCGCCAAACTAAAAATCTGCCAATTTTCAGATGTATTTAGGAAGTCCCTGGGGAAATTACAGTTCATGCAGTGCACTTCTGAGCCTCATTTTCCCCAAATTTTGTCAAAATGTCCCCAATCCACCAAATTGAATAGCCGCCAATATTTGAAATTGAGCAAATTCGCCGAATTTAGTAGCCTCAAATTATGTGTAACTACAGTATCAATACAGTGTGTGCTTAATTCAGGTTGACAAAGGAGGCATAAAGAATGGGTATTGATATGGCGAACTTTTTGAACACACGTTTCTCTTAAACCAGTCATCAAAAATTTCTGAAAATCTTACAAATTGTCAATTTAATGGCCATCTTTTGAATGGAAACAATATGATTCGAAATAGATATACATACTTTCATCTATACTGTTTTAAAAACACATCAAACACTTGTTTTGTTCTTGGTATCATGTTTCGAGAGTGAAATGAAACATCTTTCCGAACCTCATTGGAACAAAACGACATAATATTGCAATTGTACAAAGGAGATTTTGGTTGATTTTAAAAAAGTATCTTGTTAATGAAATAAAAGTTTTTTTTTGATTTTTATCTATTTTGGGGGGATTTTGTTTTAATTTTTTGAATACTTTTTTAAAATCAACCAAAAATTCCTTTGTATAACTTTAATATTGAGAGGTCTAAAAACATGTTGTATATGCTATTTTGTTCCAACAAGGTTCGGAAAGACATTTTATTTCATTCTCAAGAATTGGTAGAAAGGAGCAAAAACAATTGCACTAAAAAACAAAAAATGTTAACAAAAACAGTTATATAAAATATTTCTAAATAATTTTCGCATTAAATTGTTGTCAATCAGTCAACATTACATCAAATACCATGTTTTTTACAGAATGTTTTCAATGATTGGTTTAAGAGAAAAACATTGTTGAATTCAGTTCTCCATATCGATACCTATCCTTTGCAAAAGCTGGTCACAAAATCATGATGATGTGGATTCCTTATCTTTGAGCTAACAGCAATGCTCTATTATCTATTTTTGCTTTCAAATTAATGAGTTCTACTTGATCTTCATTGGTAAAATCTTCAGCACAGTTGTATTTTTGGTATCACAGTCTCCCTGATACATCAGATACGTATCTCTATATATCTCATATGAGATATATCAAGTAATTAAACCACATTTTTTTCGAAAATCAGTTCATCTTCAGCAAAAAATCGATCAAAGCTAAAACGAGACAGATCTATTGTCTTGAAGTCTCCATCTAAAAGGTACTCCATCACAGCTCGACCAATGGCAGGGCCATGTTGGATACCATGCCCACTACATCCTGTTACAAACACAATGTTTCTGTGATGAGGGTGATTTCCGATGATGAGGTTTTGATCAGTGTAATTGTAGTCATAGTAACCAGCCCAAGCATTTTTTACCTGGAAACAAGAATTTGTAGGTCATTAAAAACAAGAATAAATTGGGCATTAAAAACAAGAATAAATAGGGCATTAAAAACAAGAATAAATAGGGCATTAAAAACAAGAATAAATAGGGCATTAAAAACAAGAGTAAATAGGGCATTAAAAACAAGAGTAAATAGGGCATTAAAAACAAGAATATGCAAGGATGTTCACAACAAGAATTCTGCGATGTACAGGCTGCGACCAAAGTCCAGAGCCAGTTGGCTTCATTGTGGGCCAACTGATTTTTCAGCATACGTAGGAAGACAACTGGTCCATCATTCAATTTTGACTATTAAGCAATGGTCCTTACGACACGCTCATATTGACATTATATGTTCTTATTTCATTTTAAAATGTCAGCATTGTTACCTTAAGACTTTCAAAGGCTGGTATCCTATGCGCCAAACTTGGCCAGACTTTCTCATCAAAGAAATTATAATCCACATCCAGGTTTTCAATGCTTGGTTCCTCCGCCTGGAATGGAAATCAAAAATAATTTGAACCCCAAAAATCATAAAATACATGATTCAACTTTTATCCCTCTGCATGTGTATATTTCCCTGTCTCGAAGTCCAAATTATTTTATCATCTCTATAAGTGGTTGTCCTGGAGTTGCATTGGCCTAACATATGCTTCTATTCCTCAGAAAATAGCCAAAATCCAACAAATGACTGTCTGAAATCTGTTGCGATACCTTCCCTGCTCCTTTCAAAACAAATAAAAATAATTGTGTGCTATATATAGTAAGTTAACAGTGATATAAACAGTTGTACAATTGTAATAATAGTTGTATATTAACTACATATATTATCCTTGGACAGAAAACTACGTAACAGATGACATGGGCAGTTTATTCTTAAAGAGAGGTCTAATACCAATACTAAGACAGGAACATGTAGCTAATACAAGTATATTATCAATTAACAATTACCCAGAATCCCCAAAAAATCATCAGTTCTCAACTTTTTTGGTTTTGCTTGAAATGTGGAGACAACTTTTAGGATGGAAAATCCCAAACAGTACATTTACCAAAAAGCCCAAAAACTAATTAGTTTTAAACTCTTTATCAAGAAACATCCTTAAAAATTCAGATTAATCTATCAAACAGTTTGGCTGGAAACAAGTAGACAAGACTTTTAAAATAAGTTTTCAGGACAGAAAATCCAAAATGGCAGCCTTGAAATATAAATATACCCAGCATGCCTAAAATTTAATCAGTTCTAGATATTTATACATAAAAGCATCCCTAAAATTCTGAAATCAATTCCCTCAAATGATTCCCCAGGAAATGTGAAAGTAAGATGAATGTGGAAGCCAATTGACCTCAAATCCACTGGACACAGTATGTTCAAACATCAAGGAATCTTATTTGCAAAGGCATCAACCCTTACTTACTTGCAAAGAAAGTTATTTATAAAAGTAGGGAAAATTTTTGTTAAAGCAAGGAATCTTATTGATAAAAGCAAGAAACAACAATATTGTAAAAGCAAGAATCTCATTAATAAAAGCAAGGAATCTTATTGAAAGCAAGGAATCTTACAAGTAGAAGTGAGAAATCTTATTTGTAAAAGCAAGGACTTTATATTAACAGAAGCAATGAATCTTATTGATAAAAGCAAGGAATCTTATAGATAAAAGCAAGGAATCCTGGAATAAAAACAAGGAGTCTTATTGTTAAAGGAACATTTTTGATAAGTGCAAGGAATCTTATCGATAAAAGCAAGAAACAACAATATTGTAAAAGCAAGGAATCTCATTAATAAAAGTGAGAAATCTTATTTGAAAAAGGAAGAAATCTTACTGATAAAACCAAAGGCATCTGAAAAGCTCCAGTAAAAACAAAGAGGGAATTTGACTGAACAATTTCAGTGATGTCTAACCATGTTTAATGAATTTAAGTAATGCAACTGGTCAATGTAAAGAACATATTCAGAATTATTGTCCAAATACCAGCCTTTGAAACTGTAGGAATTTGATATTAAATCTGAATATTGGAGCAGTGCATTCAGAGAATACCAATACCACACAGGAGGTGTTCACGACTTTGCCTTGGTTCAACACGAACCCTCTATTGCGTGCAAGCATGATGAAAAGACAAGTGCAGATGCTAGAAGGCTACCTTATTTGCTGGCGCAGAGCCACAGATATAGTTTCTGCTAGGGCCTTCAGGACGGAAGTATGTGCCATCATGGTCAATCACTACAGGGCTCTGTGAGGACATAGTGCATAATTATCTTGGTGAACAGGGGGTAGTGGGAATATGTGCACATTTTAACATCTCCATAATTTCCAGTTTGTTTTTTTTGTTTTTATAATACAGTCAAACACACTGTGGTAAACATATACTGAAGTCATTTAAATGGGCCAATTTTTGTAATGGTCACACGATTACTCGGGGAGTGTAATTTGAATGAAATAAAAAAGAGTTTTTCTTATTTCTATTTCCTGGATAACCCTCTGTCTTTTCTGATATTCAATTTCAATTATTCAATATCATGGAATATGACAGTCAAAGCAAGTTCATTTGAAATTTTATTCTACAGTGCCATCTTTCATATTAATTGTCAAATAAAACCACACTGTGTCAGTCATTTTCAATAGACTAGATGCAAGTAGAAATAATCTTGACTGACATCATTAATTATTCAAAATTCAGTCAAAGTGATGTCATATTTGAAATCTACATGTAAAAGTACATCTATTATATTATATTATTATTATTTTTTCAATCAAACATATTAACCAACACCCATTTCATAGAAATATGTATATATGAGGGTTGATCAAAGATTTATGGATAGAGGACTATAACTTTTAGATTACCCCTAGTATCTCACAAGAATCATATATTTTTTGAGGTGTGAAAAGGTTAAACAGCAAAAATGGAGTGAGGTACTTAAAGACTACTTAAGAACGATCAAAGCACAGTGATATCTCCTTATTATAAGTTATTTAGTTTTAAAATATTTTCTTGCATAATGGTGATAATTCTTGATTACAATTGGCTAATTAGCCTTAAACCTCCAATTGTTTCATTTCAAAGGAAAAGAATAAGAAAGGAAGCGGTGAACCAATCAGATTACATGATTTTCAATACCACACACCTAGGCGTATAATAATATTGAATACTGTACTTACCGCAGTAGGCCCAGTGCCACATACATAGTTGCCTCCAAGACCTTCTCTTCTGAAGTACACACCTTGTGGGTCTATAGTAAAAGGTGCTTCCAAACCTGGTCCATTTGGACAGTTTACAACATACACATAGCGCTTCCTAGAAAACATTATGAAAGAATATTTGATGGGATACAACTTTATGGACACTGTGAACCCCCCTGGAAATTTTTGAAAACTCAACCCCCCTTGACAAATCCTGGCTACAGGCCTGATGTATTACTAGCATTATGACTGTCATGTAAGACAATTGAGGTCATGTGACTTTAGAGCTTTATTATCGTATATCATGCCTTTTTCAAGGATCATTTACAATATTCTATTATTCATGAAGAATATTTATTTCTGTACATAAAGACTGAGAACCAAAGATTAAAAATGATCTCAAGATCACTAGTCAGAAGCTAACAGTCATTCGTTTCTCTTTCAAAACGATGGTAAAGTATGAAGGATAATAAGTATCAAGTTTGCACCAAATAATGAAAATGGGTTCAACAGAACAATAGAACCTGTATTCAAAATGTTGTACCTCGGTTCTACTGGTAGGGGCACATGTAAATATGGATGGTCCTCGTCTACACCAATGTTTGCCATTCTTGCAATTTCAGCTGACCATGCCCCTGCAGCCACGACGCAACATGGAGTCTTAACAGGGTACACTTCCTTGTCTTCACCTCTGACCTTGAAAATAATAATCTTCGAGCTTCATCTGTCAAGGTGTTTCATGATGACTTAAACGAACATACTGCTATAAATGTAAGGAAATATACTAAAAAATTAAACCCATCAAATAATTTGAATTGAACATGACTGGACCAAGTGGCCAATTGAAAATTGCGAAATCTTAACAATAAGAGCAATGAATGACTCAGTGACTTATTGATCTTAATCTCAAAGTCATTGTGCATTGAAATGACATTATTGAAAGTAATCCAAAAATAAAGTTTTGTATTTTTTTGGTCACTCAACAATATGACTTTTTTTAGCTCATTTGCTCAACTCTGGGTTTAAAAATATGGCCCCTATCAAAGCATCTTAATGAGTCATCTTTGAGTCATGTTTCTACCCAAAATACTCACCAGTACATAGTCCATATAATCGTCTTGTATGATAGTGTTTGTGACCCGATTTCTTCCTCTCATATTCTTCATTTCAAAGCCTACAACTTCTCCTTTTTTATATTCAACTCCTAAAGACATGGCTTTACGCTTGAATGCTTCTAGTAATGACCAAGGGTCAAACCAACCTTCATTTTCATACCCTGAAAATACATTTGAAAACATAGGTCAAGGTCACTTAAACTTTGTACACGAAAATATAGGTCATTGTCACTCAAACTACCCACATAAAAATATTAGGATAAAGCCTGGTTAACACTGAGGGATATAATTTACCCTTTTCGTATTTCAAATCGAAAGAAAGACTGCAAGAGGATCTTTTGACAGGACCTCATGGGACTTTTGTGTGGTCTTGGGCAGTCTTCCAAAATCCCACAAGGTCTGACTAAAAAGACCAGTAGGAATGGGGAGGTTGGACCTTTTCTGCTATCCCTACGATAGCAATAAACAACTTTCCAGGTCTCAAGAGGACTCAAGGGAATTTATTAAGTTATAAGAAATTAGACTATGGGGATTCTCCCATTCTCTGAAGACCCAAGAATATTTAAAAAGTCCTTGGGCAATGTCATCCTAACTGCCAACATAGAAGTATAGCTCAATGTCACCTTGGGGTTTGCATGTTTGCAGTTAAGGGAGTCTGCATGTAAACACTAAGCAAAAAGTTGAATCATCCCATACCATAATTTGCTAACTCTATGCCATCTGTATTGATCCAAGGAAACTTTTTCTTCAGCATTTCATTTGACAAAAGTTCCACTTTTGCTCCCAGACTCCTATTAAAAACAGAAAATGTTAATCTGCACTCAGCCGCATTTTGTCTTATCAACTAAATATATATCATAAACTAAGCAGCGATTACCCGTTCTCGTGCCCTGTGTCCCTGTCCCCAAGTTTTAATATTTTTTACATTTTTGAAATGATTTCTAACAGACTTGGGCCAGTGTCATTCTCAGGTATTTCTTCACTCCATTTCTATTTGTCTTATCTTTCGGCGTCACTGACCCATTTCTGTCCAGTTAAAACCAACATATATGCTCTTGAGAGCGTCATGTTGTATTGAATGTCATGTATGTTTTTCAAAAATAGTAATAAACCTGAATATCAAACCAAGAGAACAATGTGTTTCTGAACAAAATTTAATTACTCATATTTATCATAGTACTAAGGAATAATGATGAATCAACAACAAGACATTAAAATGCAAAATGTCACCACCCACCATTTGTTACAGATGCCAAAAGCCAACCACCCAATGCCAACTGCTAAACACTAACTGTTATATTTGTTACAGAGACCGAACACCAACTGCCATCCCCAAAAATTGGAGAATATAACAGTATGTCAACACTTCTGGTGGTGACATAAGCACTTCTGGTGGTGACATAAGCACTTTTGGTGGTGACATACACACTTATGGTGGTGACATAACCACTTCTGGTGGTGACATTAAAACTGAGATTAATGTCTAATTATGAGTGAGTAAGCTTCCTCTGTATAATAAATAAACTTACTTTTGTAGTTCATGGTTTTCATGTAGCTGTTGTGCACCATCAGCAGTTGCAAGAAACAGGTATCCCTGAGGACTGAACTGTACATCTGGGGGGTCCATATCTGATATTTAATCATAGTTCATATTAAAATTTCACACTTTTCCATGATTACAGTCTTATTTTGTCATTTGCATGTAAAATAAATCCCTGGGAAAAATTGAGCCAGTGTTGAAACTCAGAAATAAAAACATCCTTTTACATTCACAAGTATTTTTCATTAACTTAGAACATTATTTAGTTTGGTTTAGTTTATTTCATAATATAACATATTGGAACATACAAAACATTTCCACTTAACACCATTTGTAAGTGGGTGTATAAGTACAAACATATATCAAAGTATGTTGTAGAGCAAGCTAATACTTAAAACAATACACCTAAAACAATGGTAAATCCTAAAGCAATACTAAGCATACCTAAAACAATGGTAAATCCTAAAGCAATACTAAGCATACCTAAAACGATGGTAAATCCTAAAGCAATACTAAGCATACCTAAAACAATGGTAAATCCTAAAGCAATACTAAGCATACCTAAAATGATGGTAAATCCTAAAGCAATACTAAGCATACCTAAAACAATGGTAAATCCTAAAGCAATACTAAGCATACCTAAAACGATGGTAAATCCTAAAGCAATACTAAGCATACCTAAAACAATGGTAAATCCTAAAGCAATACTAAGCATACCTAAAACAATGGTAAATCCTAAAGCAATACTAAGCATACCTAAAACGATGGTAAATCCTAAAGCAATACTAAGCATACCTAAAACACTGAGGTGCTCTTTTATGTTGCGTAGGAACTCTGCACTGTACATGGAGAGTTGTATATTCTCTTTCACTGAGAACTGCTGCCTTATCCCCCCTACAGAGAGACCTGTAGAGGCCCTTGAATACTGGAATTGAAAAAACATAAATATTTCACTGGGGTACAGTAACGTCTGTCAGTAGAATGCCTCCATAGGTGGAGCATTAGTAATGCAACCCATTTTTTACATTAACTTAAATGTAAAATTAACATCTTTAAGTAGAACATTATTTTGAAGTAGAATAAGTTTTTCAACGTACAAGGTTTTACTGTAATCATATATATTGTACTGTAGCTATAGGTTTTGAAAAGGTTGAGATTTTAAAAAAATTTGATGGAAGACTGACTTGTAAAAGACTCCCACAAGTTTCCCTGGAATCTTCAATACGGTATTTTGATTTAATAAAAATTAATAAATAAATTAAAAAATAATATCAAAACAAACAACTCGCAAATTCATTAATGTTGTTTTCTTAAAAATGCCCTATCCAATTCTCTTCAAATTAGGGGTGATTAATTTTACTTAAAGTTTCACTCACTGTTGGATCACGTTCAATAACTGTCACAGACAATCCTTTAGGGAATCTTTGCTTCAACCAGTATGCTATTGAAGAACCCATGATGCCACCACCAATGATGAGAAAATCTGACTGATTAGGGATTAAATGAGTGTTATAATCCCCAGTTAACACTGGAAGGGGGTTTCTATATTCCCCACCAGCAGGGAGTCTCTCTGTGATTTTAGCGGGAACTTCAGGTTTCGTCAATGGACCACTCGGAAGATTTGTTGAACTCCCACTGCTGGGGGCTCCATTATCATTATTGGAGGATTTCTCCCACATGATACGTGACAGGTGATATCCGCATTGTGATTGTTTGACTATTGGAGTCACAAGCCTCTGCAGTATCTTAGAACCTGACATCGTGAATTGCTTATGGACTCTTTGGTTCTGATTGACTAGAATATAGGATCTATACTTATAATCTAGGCCCTAAGCAATGTTTACACTGTTCTTGTAATTTTGTAAGGGGAGGTCAATAAAGGTACATTGGTCAACAAAATGCCATGCCAGGATTCACCATCAAAATGTTCAAGTTATCATATTTCTGCCGGGGAATGGAAAACCAGTTGCGTTGATCCTTGATGTAGATGACTGGAAGTCTGCTCAGTTGACCTGGAAATATATATATTAAGCAAAATATAATTTACAGTTTGGGCCCCAAGAAATCTATTCAATTTCAAGGATGAAGCCCAAATGAAATAGAATCAACTGCGGAGTCCATATACATGTACTGTATATGTTACTTCCTGCGAAAGCTATTTGGATTTTGATATAATAGCTTTCCCACGGAGCATTTGGACAGCTCAATGATTGTGACCTTTGAAATCGAATTAAGTCGATCAGCGACTTACTTTTGGTCTCTAACTGTGTCTTACATCAGTATCATCAATCCGTGTAAGTATTGGAGCGCTGGAGTACTTCTTTTTCGATCAAGACTTGTAATTCTAAAGGGGTCGTAGGATGCGATAATCTATCAGTATCACCAACACAAGTAAAACCAGTTTAAACCACCTGTTATCATAACATGGTTGATGAACATGAGATACAAGATATATGTCCTATTGAGGTGGGATCTTAACTCATGTTAAAGATAAAACAAAAACCTGAACAAAGTCAAAACAACTAATTGTAACCTGTATGACTACTTACTTGACCTACATTTCTCTGAAAGTGAAAGCTGTTGCACGTTAGAAAAAAAACTAGCCCTGTTCTTTCAATCAACAATTTTGACTTGATTTCTCTATTACAAACCCTTTTTTATTTTTCAATCATTAGAAAAATGTTGATTTATCTCATTTTGGTATCGAAAATTATATTGAGTGTGCAAATGTCACAAAATAAAAGTTTCAAGTGAAAATGTGATAGTTCCTACGATAGCCACCAGGTGGCGAAAATTGGAAAATAAAAATGTCCGACGTTGTTTTGTCCACATTTTATGATGTTTGAACGCTTGATATAGGTGTGTCGTCATTTCAGTTTTGGTGTTTAACGGTAAGTTATATTATAAGAGTTCTAAATAACGTCGAATGATACTCGATGACTTTCGATGTTTATCATGAAAAGATATGATATCCTTATAAATTTCAGACACATTTTTGGGCACTTTTCAATTTTGCAACTTGAACTTGAAATAGTCAGACTTTCGCCACACAGAGAATTGGAGAATTGAGATGTAGTGAACATAGTATGTAGCTGAATTCAGTAATTATTCCATGAATTCACAAGTTTTGGAATTAGAATTGTTTTCATGGCCCGAGTTCGTCGCTAACATGCTAAATATAGATCTAAGAGTTAGCTGACATTTGGAAGTCTGACTTACCTTCTAAAGGTTAGAACCCGAATCTTAATGAAACCATATCACCTTTGTTGCATCGATGATGATGCATAAACACAGCATTTGATAGAAATTAGTGTAAATGCTTTTCCGACTTTTTCATTTTTAATCAATGTTGACTTCCGGGAAGGCGTTGTAGTTATCACGAAATAACGCATTGACCCTTGAACTTTACTTTGTTGACGTGTCAACCAAGCATGTCTGGTGTGAAAATTAAAAGAATATTAAGCAATGTTCTACATCCGCCAAGCTAAGTGAAGTAGTCAATATTTAAAATTACCAATTTCAAGTGAAGTACGCAACGAACGAAACTGCATGATCTACACTCCCACTATTGGTCTGAACGAAATGCTACGTAGAAATATGAGCCATCTGCTGTATTAGTCGATTAATAGAGTAAGACCTGTTGGTGATGCTTTATAATTTAGACCAAAACATTGAAGAACAAACGAACCTGTAAATCGTGAAAACAACGAACAAATATTCGGTTTTCACATATGTTCGGTAATTTTTCGCATTGAAACTTCCGGAACTTACAAGGAAATCATTCATTTTCACGGTCCATGATTTACCTCTTGGATGTTGTGGCAAATGCTCCATGGTTGACGGAACAAAGGTGACATGGTTTCATTAAGATTCGGTTTCTAACCTTTAGAAGGTAAGTCAGACTCCCAAACGTCAGCTAACTCTTATATTTAGCATGTTAGCCACAAACTCATGAAAACAATTCTCGAAATCGCTGTTCCCTCTTCAAAAGAGAAGACGCGAAAATCTTTCCTTATAAGGGCAAAATATTTCCCATGATGCAGTTCGCGGAGGAACAAATTTATACTTCCTTATTTTCCCTCATAGGTTTAACATGGGGATTTTCACACCTATTTTTCAAACGATATATTCGTTCATATTCCCGTACGAGAGTACAGAAAAAATTATTAGAAACGATTGATCTCTCATTAATCTTAATATAACAGCTATTTTTTTCATTGTATTAATTCATAGCGTGGTGAAAACGATGATTGAAAGTGAGAAAATATTCCGGAAGAGAAGGTCACGTGATCAGTAGACTAGTCGCCATATTGGAAAAAACAATTCCATTCGACTTTCAATACTTTCATGCCAATCTTACCACACTACAAACTGCGACATCGATGCAACAACTGAATAAAAGTATTCATCTTCAAATTACATTATAGAGTTACGTTGAAAACCCACAAACAACTGAGCAGTAGACCAAAGAAGACGCGTCGCTATTATCTAGGTCAATCTGTTCAGTGGTCCGAAAGCAAATCTATAGTACTCGTTTTACGAATTTTGTTGTTCATTGTACAATCTTTTATTGATTAAACTCGGTATACTGACTATTAAAGCAATGACGAAGAAGAATACTTACGATGGTGTCATTGTTTTATTTAGCGTGCGGGTGTAAAAACAAAATTGAGTAATTAGTTTGATTTAGAACTTTCGTGTCACGCAAATAGCTATGCGAAATGCATAGTGGGAAAATATTGACCAATCAAATTTTGTCCTTTTTGAGTGCTATTTCAGTGCATATTTGCGAACGTTCTGATTCAAAGAGCGAACTGCGAAAAGGAGAATTCTAATTTCACTCAGCGTTGATGACATTTTTATCGCACTTTGAAAAAGTGCTATATTGTCGTCGTCTTGTGCTGTTGGGCGGGCGTGCGGGCGGGCGTGCGGGCGGGCGGGACATAAACCAAATCTTGTCATCAAATTTCCAGGATAACTGCTTACCTGTTCAACTTGAAATGTTTACAGATGCAAGGTAAACTTGCTGGGTAAACTATGTGGCGGCCATTTTGAATTTTTCAACAAATCTTGTCATCAAAATTCCAGGAAAACCACTTATCCGTTCAACTTGAAATTTTTACAGATGCAAGAGCAGACTATTGCCAAGATCTGATTAGGTTTTGGGTATGCTGGCTGAATTACATGGTGGCCATTTTGAATTTTTCAATTTGGCGGCCATTTTGAATTTTTCAACTTGCTCCAAATTGACCAAATTTTTTTTTAAAAAACATCTACAAGTTCTCAGAAGTTCAAATCTGACCTTAGATTTCAGATTTGACCTTTCGTTCACCTTCAGTGACCTTGAAAAGGTCAAAAAAGTTGATTTTCTAAATTGATATTTTGGATTTAAATTTAGGTCAGCTTAATTACAAAACACCTACTGAGGTCTGAAAAAGTTAAATTTTCAAGATGGAAGGTCAAGGTCATTAAACTAGGTCACAAATGATGTTATCCAAGTTTCTCAAAGTTTGACACTACAAATCAATTCTTGTCATCAAAATTCCAAGAAAACCGCTAACCTGTTCAACTTATGTTGGGTAAATTGCATGGTGGCCAGTTTGCTCTTCAAAGTGCGATATTTATCACTGTGTGTCTTGTTGTTTATTGAGGGTAGTCATATAAATCCGACCGTTGTATGCTGTTCTTCGATGTTCCTTGTTCTTATTTGGATATTTATTTTTATCATTTTCTTTGCATACACGGTCGTAGATATAATTGCAAACAAATTGCGGGAAACGCTTTCCTGGCCTGTCTGGGTACCATACCAAGTCACACAAATTATCGATTTATTATTTTGCTCCAACATCAAAGTGTTAAATCTTACCTTAGACATGTAAAACGCTTGATATTTGATGAAATATAATCAATTGAAATATATTTTCATTATCGCCCGCCATGTTGCTAAATGTTGTTTCCGGTAGTCTAAATGTAAACATGGATCGAAATGGAATCCTAATTATTTAATACACAGAGATTCAAAAGCCGTTCTCTCATACTACTCACTTTTCTCATTTTTGAAACAATAACTTTTCCACGTTACTTCCCTTCTTAACGACACTGCTTTTCTTCCATCTGAATCTTCGTGTAACAAATACTTATGATTTCGTTTTGATATAGTTTTACATCTAGACTATAAGATTAACCCGGAAGTGACCTTGGTGGGCGATAATGAGAAAATTTTAAAATTCAAGCAGCATGCTAATATTTCTTCAATTATCAAGCGTTTTACGTGCCTTAGGTAAGATTAAAAACTTTATAGTTGAAGCAAAGAAATTAATTTATCATTTGTGTGAATTTGGTTGGGTAGACAGGCCAGGAAAGCATTTCCCGCAATATAGAATCACCTAGTGTGTACAACCGTATATGCAAAGAAAATGATAAAAATGAATATCCAAATAAGAACAATAACATCAAAGAACAGCATACGACGGTCGGATTTATATGACTAATTGAGGGGTGATAAAAAGTAGATGTAGATCTACCTTTTCAATCCATTCAATTGGGTAAACATTTCAATCAGAATAAACCTAGCGAAAATGAACAGCCGCGAAATCTCAATATTGCAAAATATGATAGCATCAAATATTAGTGGGTGTATAGTATTGTACCATTTTTCTAATTCAGGCCTCAGAAAATTCAAAATGGCCACCTACTGTACAGTAAAATTTTAAATGTTTGGAACTACTTTGAATTTAAAAAATAAGCAATCAAATGACTATATTGCAACAGTATATAAAAAATAGAAACATATGTACTTGTCCTAGCTTTTGTATATTTCAGATAGTTATGTATAAGGTGCAGCAAAGCTGTGGCCTTTTGTAATTTAGGGAGTTTCAGCCATGTTAATTTTCCGAAAATAACATGGGAGAGAAGCATCAAAATATAAAATGTTTCTATTTTTACATATACTGTTTCAATATGGTCCTTTGATTGCTTATTTTTTAAATTCAAAGTAGTTCCACACATTTAAAATTTTACTGTAATGTGGTATTTCGCAATATTTTTCAAACTAAGCCAACAAAAAGTTTTAAAATGTAAACCCAATATCCTGTTTAAAAACCCTTATTCTAATTCTTTCTTACAATTGAAAATGGATTATAGCAATACTATTCCTCATGAATCTACTTGAATGCTAAGACTTGATAAACTTGAGTTGAATGAGTTTTCCTGAGAAAATCAGTATGCTCTATGTGAAATATTCTTTCAATAGGTCCCCAAATCTCTACCAAAATTCGGCTTTGTTGCAACATCTTTATATATTTTTTAATTTTTATATATTTCCAGTAAGAAGTTATCAAAATGGCCCCAGTAGTTACGGTTGATATGGATCCTCCCCAGGAAGAAGAGGAACAATCCTCCGCCCCCATCAAGCCTGTTATAGGCATTATATACCCTCCACCAGAGGTGAGAAACATTGTAGACAAAACAGCAAGTTTCGTCGCAAGAAATGGTCCAGAATTTGAGTCGAGGATTAGATCCAATGAAATCAACAACCCAAAATTTAATTTCCTCCAGCAAAATGATCCATACCATGCCTACTACCAACATAAGGTTAAGGATTTTGCTGAGGGAAAGGGACAGGAACCAGCTGCCCCTAAACCTGGTAGTATGATGATGAATCTTAAATCCCAACAACAAGAATTAATTGAACTCATCATCCCTAAGGAACCCCCACCTGAGATGGAATTTGTTGCTGATCCACCATCAATTTCTGCATTTGATTTAGACGTTGTGAAACTCACTGCTCAGTTCGTAGCTAGAAATGGCCGACAGTTTTTGACAAATCTGATGAACAGGGAGCAGAGAAATTATCAGTTTGATTTCCTTCGACCTCAACATAGTTTGTTTAACTACTTCACCAAGTTAGTTGAACAATACACAAAAGTTCTGATTCCACCCAAGGATCTTTTGAACAAGCTGCGAAAGGATGCTGAAGCTTCAAAGCCAGTTCTTGAGCAGGTGAAATACCGTGTTGAGTGGGCAAAGTTCCAGGAGCGTGAACGACAGAAAGAGGAAGAGGCAGTTGAACGGGAGCGTGTAGCATATGCGCAAGTTGATTGGCACGATTTTGTCGTAGTTGAAACAGTTGATTTTCAGCAAAATGAAGTTGGAAACTTGCCACCACCTACGACACCTGAAGAAGTGGGAGCTCGTCTTCTTGCACAAGAACGTGTCGGCCAGAGAGGAGATGATGATGCTGCTATGGAGATTGAATCAGATGAAGAAGGCTCAACATCGGAAGAGGAGTCAGATGAAGAGGAAGAAGACGCTGAACCCGAGAAGCCACCAAGACCTGATATCAACACTCAAATTGAAGACATGGATGAGGATTCTGATGAAGAGCAGCCTCAGCAGAGACCACCTCCTATGAAGCCTCCATTGCCTCCTTCTAGACCCCCATTACCCCCCTCTGATAAACCCCAACCCCCTCCCCTGCCACCGATGCCAGGTCAAGTGGTTGTTAAAAACTACAACCCGAAGGCGCCTAAACTCCTTCCGGATAACCCACTCTCAGATCAGTTCCTCATCTCCCCTATTACTGGAGAGAAAATCCCAGCAGATAAACTTCAACAGCATATGAAAATTGGGCTACTGGATCCGAAATGGATGGAGCAGAAAGATCGTGAAATCGCTGAGAAAAGGGAACAAGAGGAGGTATATTTTAATTTAATATATTTTCAGTATAGAAATACATCGAAGACCAATCCTTATCTTAAAAGTCATATACATGTATAGGGATTTGAATAAAATTAACTGTTACTATGAAAAAAAAAATATATTAGCAACTACGTGTACTTAACTTCATTCTCATAAAAACAAATTGTTTGATTTACATGTAATGTATTTCAATATATGTGTACATTGTTATAATCTTCTCTATGTAGGTATTTGCCCCTGGATCCTCCATCGAGAGCAGCCTGAAGAATCTAGCCGAGAGACGTACTGATATCTTTGGTAGTGAAGAAACGATGATCGGTAAAAAGATTGGAGAGGAAGAAGGTCCTGTAAAGGAGAAGGTCACATGGGATGGCCACTCAGCTTCTATGGAGAAGATTTCCCAAAAGGCTAGGGAGAACATCTCCATTCAGGAACAGATTGCTGTAATTCACAAGGTAAGTACTATGTGAATACAGAACTACTTGCTATCCAAAATAGGCTCAAAAATAGTGAAATTATCAAAACATGTGTAAGGAATAATGTGATATTTATATGTGACTCTGAGTGAAAGAATTCCTATATATCAAAACTTGTTACTTGAATTTCAGTTTGGTTACATGTTGTTGTTGCTGATACTATGTACAGTCACATCATTTCTATTGAGCCTGTAGTGAAAGGGTCCACTGTATCACATGGCATAGTCCTGTGATGACATGTGATACAGAATGCATCATCATAGTTGACCAATTATATTGCTCAGAACCTTATTCATGTGCGATGATGAATTATATTCCTGTGTTGTGACATGTGGAACAGAATGCATTGTCACAGTTGACCAATCATATTGCTTAGAAACTAGAAGATCCTTGATAATGAATTATATTCCTGTATTTCTAGGTTAAGGGTTTCATACCAGATGAGGAAAAGGAAAAGATTGGGCCTGCAATGCCCAAGACAACCCAGCAACAGGCTCCCTCAAGTCTACGCACCATTGTGCAACAAACCCCCAAGGAACCACCCAAGCCACAACCCCCTAAACCAGCTCCCCCTAAGGCTGCTCCCCCAATATCTAAACCCCTTCCTCCTCCCCCAGTTGCAAGACCCCCAATGCCTCCAAACATGGCACCACCCCCTATGCATATGCCACCTCAGCCCCCTGGAGGTATGGTAGTTATGCAGCCCAGGCCTGTACCACCCCCTAGGCCTCCACAGTTGCTAGCAATGAGGCCCCCAATGCCCCCAATGATGCAGCCTCACATGGGTGGACCCCCAGGGTACATGCCAAGGCCCCCACCCCCCAGGCCCATGGATCAGCAGAGACCCCCACCCATGAGGGATGAACCGCCATCCAAGAAGGCAAAGACCGAAGATAACCTGATACCAGAAAATCAGTTCTTGGCGCAGAATAATGTAAGAAATATTTTGAATAAAGGTTTTATAAAGACTTCATTAAGTTTTTATGCTACTTCCAAGATGTGTTGAGATATAGTTAAAGCCCCCATTTTCACATTCTGTGTCTGTAACAAATTGTTACATTGTTGTAATAACAGCCAGGGGGTCATTAACAGAACTTTCGCAAAGTTAGAATTCTTAATTCTGTTAAAGAAAAGAAAGTTCTGTTAATGACACCTGGATGTTATTACACCTGATGGTAACATTTTTTCAAGTTAACTCCTTTTCTTTATTGTTTTCTCATTTCGTTAAAGTTCTGTTAATGACCCCCTGATGGTAACATTTTTTCAAGTTAACTCCTTGTTCTTTATTGTTTTCTCATTTCGTTAAAATACATTATTAGCCAGTGAGAAACATTAGGATGTTATTAAAAAAACTTTTCTTCTTCCAGGGTCCTGTCCAGTTTAACGTCCAAGTTCCTGATCAGTCTGACAAACCAGAATGGAACCTTAAGGGTCAGTCCCTCACATTTACCCTCCCCCTTACGGATAACGTCTCTGTCATTAAGGCTAAGATCAACGAGTCGCTTGGGATGCCGGCTGGAAAGCAGAAGTTGCAATACGAAGGCATGTTCATCAAGGATTCCAACACTTTGGCATTTTACAACTTCACTAAGGGAACCACTGTTGTCCTGCAGTTGAAGGAGAGAGGAGGCAGAAAGAAATAAGGAAATGATGAATGATCAAGGAAATATAGAAGGAATATGGACATGATAAAGGAATCAGGAAATGATTAAGGAAGAAATCGATGAGGGAAGAAATCTGGACATAATACATGATCAACTCAAATATTTTTATTAATGATTAGCCTGATTTTTTGCCGAACTAAGGCAAGAAGAGACAATTATGTCTTCAGATGAAGGCTAGGGAATTTTGGACTCTTATTGAATTTGTAAATATTTTTTGTTTTGTTTTATGTTACTCAGAAATCATGAGGATTGAAATAATTTAGAAAACAGTGGTTTATATTACGTAGTTATGCAAAATGTATCATGCCTGAATTTGAATGGGAAGCGGGAAGTCCCCCACAAGCTGTCAGTTGAGAAAAACACAATCCCACACATGCACAGACTGATCTGAATTTGGGCAATTCCAATCATTTTCTTACCAGAAACATTCTTGTGATATGATCAGTAGAAATAAAACTTGAGAGTTTGATTTGATATGTAAGTCTTACCCAAGTCACATGACTGAAACTGGCCAATCGGATACATGAATTTACAATGGCCTATTGAGAACAGTTTCATTTTGTGTCAATAATTCTATATTTTTTGAACTTCCACCAACAAGTGTACAGTAATAAATAAATGATTCATAAAATTAGAGAATGTCTTATTTTTAAAATGAAGTATTAGATGTAGTTTGATGTTTGAAAAATATTGGATTTGGTATCTCTAATTTTTGTAATTTGTAATATAAGTCATGTGTTGTTCAAAAGAGGGCGCACACATTATAACCAAATTGAAAGTTCACACAAGGGTTGTTCAATAATTACTGATACAAATGCTCTGACCTTCTTGTTTTTTGAGGAATTTTACATGAAATGTTCAGGATTGAAAGCAACATGTATGTTAAAGGCTTCATTTGGAGCAATCTCGCTGATTGCACAAGAACATAGGAATGAGAGCATTTACAGTGTATAACACTATTTATTGACTGCCTAGACTAGTTGATAAAACCTTGAGACTTTAACCCAACCCCTTAAGTAAAAACATGAATAAACTTCAAATTCATGATTTTAAATTGGCTGACATATGAAATTTATTATAAATTGTTTATCATTTATCATTACTCAGCATTGGTCTGTGATTTCTAAATTGTACTTTAAACATGCCAAATATGGAGATGAGTTATTAAGAGCCCTTTCAAATCAAATAATTGGTAAGCAGTACCTGACTAGCCATCCCATAAATGTTTTCTAAGGTCTTATAAAGCCCATTGCAGAAACAATTATCTGTAAAATGTGCAAAGTCTTCTCGATGAATCAGAAAGGACATGAAAAATAAAATTTGGTGACCAGACAAGTGTTAATTGAAATAGAACCGTTCTGGTGGTATTTTCCCTAAATCTGTCTCACTAAGGTCAAAACTGAAACGAACCAAACAGTGAAATTCTAAAACTAAAAGAGCCTTCCCTATGATATTCTTTTCTCCATCCTAGTACTCAAAATTGATGAAAGATTTGTAAAGTGTATTGATAAGGTATACAAAGGATCGATTATATTAATATTATAATACTATTTAATAACTGGTACAAATTTAGAAAAGTCTCAAGTCCTTTTGTAAGTGAAACACCTAAGTGGAACGCTTCTTGAGGTATGAAAGGTGTTCCACTTATGCTATGGCATTATAACAATTATTTGGGTTATTTACTGGGAGGGCTGAATATTAGTTTTATTCCAAGGGACAATGTGATATAAACTGACAGTCTGACATCTCATTTTCAGTGTACATGTACTTTAATTGATAAAGTAATATGGGTTGGTCTCAAATGCTGTCTTCTCATTGGCTAATATTTCCTTCAATACAAGACCCTGAGCAGATGTACATGTATGTGTTAATGAAGGGAGTACTTGTTCGCTTGATATGATAGATATACATGTACACTAAAAACTCTAGATTCTATGGTTATTAATGCTATTGGCCACCAAAGGTTATATAAGGATTGATCACTAAATGCATTTTATGAAAAATCTATTAATCATGCTTTATATATAGTATGTGATGTATCTATCAGGACATGTGCACATGGATTTAATGTAAATTACTTTAGATTGTATGTGTTGTATCTATTATTCCATTACCTTTCTGTACTTTATTGATAACCTATGTCTGGTCTGAACTGATTAGAAAATTTGACTTTATTCAGGGATGGTATCCAAATGTTAACCATTGTGAAAAATATGGCCAACTTTTTCCCTTATGATTTGAAAATTTGTTTTGTGTGTTTACTTTGAAAAAGTCCCCACCAAGAAAATTAAGTTTGTCATTCCTCACGTGATGGTATTTGGACATCGCCCCTTATGATATATTCATAAAGTATTATATCATTGTGTTAGAATATGACATTTCAATTCATCTCATCTATGAGAAGCAATTAAAATTCAGTATCTGACAGTTCTATACAATTTAAAGTGTTGACTACATGCCTGTTTATTTTATTCTTTGCTAATTCCACTCAATTTTTTCTTTATTTTGTTTTCTAAAAATGCTAAAACATGATTGGTATCATGCCATCTTTATAACAAGAGGAATTGAGAAAGGGTTAACCATTTAGACCACCATGTCACTTTATCTTTAGGTAAATACCACTTCCTTATTTAGACTGGTCTAGTGGTCACTTATCATTCTGTGGCATTCATTAATTATATAAGCTCTTTAAAAATCATGTTGAAAGGTGGTCGTGTTTTCAATTATAGCGTGGAATTGTCAAAGAATAAATGGTTACTAGATCTAATGAATGTTCCAAATTCTATAAAAAATTCAAAATGTTACTTAATCCTTAATTTTAGAATGGAATTTCATAAAATGAAAATATGGTTAGATAGGCACTGATTTTGAAGGAATATGAGTCAATTTATATTTATATCATTGTGATTCATAGCAAATTAACTGCAATTAGGTACAATGTGTCATTGCAATTTCATTAAAATTAAAATTGATGTTCTAATAGTCTTGACTTACAAAGTGGACCTATTTGAAATGTGAAATGTTTTTAAATTATTGTAGTCTCGTGTCATGCTCCTTTCAGATGCAGTCCCACAAAATGTCTCTACAGTACTTGGTGTGACTCACCCTTTCTTTTACAGAATTGGGATAGATGACCTTTGGATTGAGCGGTGTATTGTTTATGCAGATTATAGAGATAGATTTGCATCAATCCCTTGTATCCCCCTTTCCCAGTTCTCTATGATACAGATGGGGAAGGGGTAGTTCAAGGGCTTAATGCAAGATTAAGATAGAATGCAACTTGTATAAAATGAATACTCTGTTTTTGTATAGATGTCACTGGAAGTTTCAAGCAAAAAGTCAATATCCCAGAAGCTGTGCTCCTATTGGTTGCCATGAGTCACATGGTTATTGTTTGTAAACTCATTCCCAATGGCAGTCTGCAGAAAGCCACATGTGAGAGACTGGTAAGAGGAGAGATCACACAGGGAAATTAATTAAGAATTAATAAAAAGGACTTAAAAGGAAGGATAACAAGTCCAAGTTTATTGGTAGCTTAGTGATATGACTGCATGGTGTCAATACAATGGAAGAGAACAATTCAAGCACTGTTCTTCAAACTCCACTCTTCGAAGTGGGCTCACTCTGGCTGAAAGCAATGAACGATAACATCAATCGATTCGGGAAATTTTTCAGAATGATTTCATCTGATTCAGATCCAGATTGGTTCGACTCTAAGGCAATGTTTGTATTCATAGGACTATTAACAATAATCATTGTATACTATCTCTATAAGATCTTTTGGGCCCCGTTGGAACGAATTCGCCAACTGTCTGATGTCGGCTACTACCCAGATTCAAGGATGTCCATGAAAGATACCGCAAATATGGTGAAACGCTGGAAAAGTATCGGAGATGTTCCGCCTGTTTACCCAAATGGTTGGTTTGCGGTTATTGAGTCGCATAAACTTCCCATCAAGGCAGTGAAAAACACTCATCTCTTAGGTAAGATGCTCTTTCATTTTTATGTCACCACACCAAGTATCGGTATTGTCTCCAACTTTTGTTATGGAAGGTGTTTGGTGGTTGGTGTTTGGTAGTCGGGATCAATAACTAACAAATGGCAGGTGGTGAAATTTTTGCTTTGTTTATTTCACTGCATATTTATGTCACAACCTTCAGTGGGGACATATAACTGTAGTCTTTGTGACTTGAGTTGGTTGTTACACTTTTGAATGCATTTGTAGGTAGTGACATTTGGTCATTTTCATATTGTTAATAACCTGTATTAATTATTTTATTGCATCCACAATATGCTTTTTATAAATAAAAGGGGTATTTGAGGCTAAGACAAATAAATGAAATGTTTAGTTCATCCTCTTTCATGAATGTCAAACTGTATTTTAGGCTAAGACAAATAAATGAAATGTTTAGTTCATCCTCTTTCATTAATGTCAAACTGCATAAAATCCTCCATGATATATCTTTACCATTTGTTTTTAGCTCATTCTATTGGGAATTCTGTATAGCCATTTGATAGTAAATGTCCATTTTAAATTACTTTGTAGAGACACAAGGACCTGCATAATATTTGACTTCCTTAAATAATAGATATCAGTCAATAGACATTTTTTGCCAATTCAAATTCCCAAAGGAAGAACTGTTGATGCCTCAGTGCAGTAGAAATAAACCATATAACAATAACAATGATCTTAATAGAATTGATTCTGGTTTCCAATTTGTATTCTGAAACAGGTTATATAGATATAAGATCCAAAGTAAATATATAATTAAGGTGATTACTAGTGTTCACTTTGAATAAAGCAAGGAAAAAAACAATTTTTCTCCAATCTATTATATAGTATACAGTATTCTCTTTGAAGTTCTTGGAATAATCCCATCAGGATATTCACCCCGGGTGATCAATATCCTGTGTTCCGAATTTCGTTCCAGCAAGTCAGTGACCCGAGTTGTGTTTTTACTGAATCCCGATGAATATGGCGTCTCGACGAGCCAGGTGACGAAAATGTGTCAAACAAATCAGATAGCATAAGGAAAGAATGAATATAGAGTAATGCATTCGGTGCTGGAATATGTTTTCAACATGTTCATAAACGATTATCCATATGTGTAGGCTATTAATGCAAATCGAAGCATGAAACCAACATGACCCAATTCGAAAAGCTCGCAGAAAACGATATCAGCGAGTCGTTCTTTGCCTTCTGTAAGTAATGATGGATACTCTGAGCATTGTATAACTGTAAAGTATACCTTATTAGTATGTCTCAACTTGTGCTATGTTTGAATCCAAGCTATTTCCTTTCATAAGCGTCATAGAAGTCGTTGAAAGATATATTCCATTCTACCGAATAGGAATCGCCATTGTCCCGAAGCTACAGAATAAGATTATATATATTTTGTATACTTTTGAGAATTCATTCATGAATACATCAAGCTAATTTGGTGCTACCTTTCTTGTTATTATTTTACAAATTCAAGATCGAATTTCCCTGTATATTGATTTCCACATTGGCATTGAACTGCAAATACAGGGTGTCCCAAAAAGTGTACCCACTTTATAGAAGGAATATAACTATTCAAAAAAAATTGAACTTTTCACCTCAATTAGATTTTTAAAAATAAAAAATGTGTGCAAATCAAAACATTGCATTGCTGTCTGGTACAACCACGATGACCATTTACAGGCCCGTATCCAGGATTCACCATTGGTGAGCGGTTTTACCAAGGGTGGAGTTTTTGCCAAGGGGGGGGGGGGCTTTTTGACAGTTTTGATAGCACGATCGTATGTATAGTATCTGTATCTCAATGATAATACCTCAATTTGAGGTTTATTTGAGCCTAGCCTTCTACTATAAGTATGATCTGGATGGCATCTGTTGTTTTGGCAAAAAATCATGTGAAAAGTGCTCAGAATGGTGAAAAACTGCAAGTTTTTGAGAGAATTTCTGACCAGGGCCCCCCCCCCTCCTATCTGCGGGCCTGATTTAATAAATTATGCATGGATCCTGCCATTATAGTCCATGGTATGAAATCTCTAGGACGTCTAATAAAGGAGCTGGTAGCACACTATAGCGCAGCGATATTTGACCTAACATAACCATACCTACATATGTCCCCTAATAATTTTTATTATAACCGTTTAATATACTTCCGGCTTTAAGGCTAAATTATGCCTGCCATTAACAGAGGTCAAAAAATTTCCAAAAAATAAACTTCCAAACTTTTACAATTTGGAGTACACAATGCAATAGCAAATAATAAAATATGATTTTAAGTATATGATTTAGGTTTCTAAGCTAAAAGTTTGAGGTTATTTTTCTATTCAATACCAAAAGATTATGTCATCAGTGTATCGACATTTTGTATTGTTTCTCGGGTATTAATAAGATAAATGCTACAAATGAATCACTTTTCTATTAGAATGACAAATGCTTAAATTATGCTAGTTTTTCGCAAAATGGGTCTCAATACGTTTTAAGATATGAACTTTTATTCAGCGGTGAACATTATCAATAAAGGTGGGCCTATTGCTCTCCCTTGACTAATTGCGACTACAGCTAAAATTCCATTTCTCGTAGTTAGATATAGCTCAGTTACTTATGAAACAACCATCAAGACTTGGTCGAATTCATGAATAATTGAGAAAAATCGTTATCATTATCTTCCTAAAATTTGATTGCATCCTTCGGTAAGGTCAAAGAAGAAACAACCATCAGAAAACTTGATGATAGCCACAACTAACGTCGAGGAAGAATTGTAAGGCGTTCGACTGCATATGACTCTAATTGATTATTAGACATGCCCTTGGAATATATGAACATGCAAATACCTCTGTAACATCGAATTAGATATGAATCTTACTTATTTGTTATTGTATTATGTTTTATAAAACATCAACAATAATTTGTTGTTAGACCCTTTACGATTATATGGAAAAATTCTGGTAATAAAATGGTAAGAAAACTACCCGGAAAACTAATACGTTCCCAATCAAAAAAAATTACCTAAATATTCCATACAATTTTGTTGAATCGGCTTAGCTCATATTTGAAAAATCAAACAAAATCTGAAAAACACACTTGTGTAATTACACTAATTAAACACCGACATCTACAGTAAAATCATAGTAATTTTGACATTATGATAATCAATTTTTTTGTTCGTATGCTTAGAATAACGGTGTGTGTCTTATAAAATTTATAAAAGTTCGAATCAAAATATTTACGTTTTTTGACCCCTTGTGATGAAATACATTTTTCGACCCGAAAGCCGGAAGTTTTTTCGGCAAATGGTATTTTAAAAGAATCAAGACATATACACCTTCATAAATATTGCTTCAAATGCTGCTGCGCTATAGTGTGCTACGGATCCTTCATATTCGGAGGTCATACCAGGGACTATTACCTTAGCAATGCTATCGTGAAAGCCTGGTGTGACCGTCGCCTTTATGTGACATTTATGGCTTACTAAGTGAAGACTTTTTAGCCTGTTGTCAATATTATTATATTTTTATGGGTAAATTGTAATGCCTACTCTAACAGTGACAACGTTGAAATATATTACAATACCTGGCATATACCTGCTATATGATATGCTATATTTTTTGTCAATCCCTGGTTTTTGTGACAATGTTAAAATATATCATAAAAATGCCTGCTACAGTATGTGCAATGTGGATTGTGAAATGACCATTCTTTGAAGGTGTTGCAACATAGTCTCATAATTTACACATGTTGTATTGTACTCTCATCCTCTGATGTGTGTGGCCTCTTGACAATTTTCACATATTTTAACATGGGAAATCCTCAATTAATCAAATCCACTACTCATTTATTAATTACTCAGACTAGAAAAAAATCAGTCAAGTTGGCAAAGTATCAATATTATCAAATGCATTCAATTCTTATTTTTGATAAATTAAGATATCACACGTGAGTATACACTGCTTCTGTTCATTATGATTCAATAGTCTATGAGCATTTATCCATGAAGTGCGTCGGAACACTGGCGATTCCTATTCGGTACTATGGAATATATCTTATTATGCCTTCTAGGACGCTTATGCAAAGAAATGGTTTACATTCACTGGAAGCACGAGTTGGTACATACTTTGAACGTCTACCCAGCAATTATACCATGATAACAGTTTATCTCATTAACTAACAGAAGGTCAAAAACTGCTCGGTGACATACTTTCCAGCGAGCGTTGAAAATGAGGTCACGTTTACTTATGCTTCGATTAGCAGTAATGCCCAACGCATATGGATAAACAACTAAGAAAATGTTGCAAACATATTTAGGCACCGAATGCGCCACTCTATATTCAGTCTTACCTTATGCTGTCAGAAAGTTTTGAATAATTGTCGACATCAACATCGTCTGTTGTCAAATTAGCCGCCATATTTGTCGGGATTCAGTAAAACACAACTCGGGTCACTGACTTGCTGGAACGAAATTCGGAACACAGGATATTGATCACCCGGGGTGATATTGCTGAATATTTTATATCTTAATTTGAGCCATTTAGTGTTGAGGAATGTGCATTTGGTTGTAACTAACATTGTCCTCAAATTCTTTCAATACCATGAAACAGGTTTCAGCAGGTCCTGTGTCCATTATATTATATTACCCTTTTAATAGTTTAGAATTTCATAAAATTACTAGGCTCTGAGACCTGGGGTAACCCTATATTCAATCCTCTAATTAAACGCCCTATACATTAAATACTAATGACTTTATCTATTTTCATTGATAAAAATACAACCCATGACTAAAACTACCTATTTATCGACCTATTGATAAGGAATGTAGCCAATACATAGAACTTGATCAATGTAACACACATATGATAAAAAAGTCATAAATAGTGTCACTAAAAATAATAAAAGATAAATTACAAGCACTTTGATGTTAACACTTCATTTCAATAACTGGTACCATTCACAAATTTTGTCTCAAAACTTTTTCACCACTTAAATGTGCCA